AGGGAAAAATTGAGCACAAAATCAACTACTGTTTCTAAATGAGGTTGATGTGACGGAAGAAGAAACGGAGAAAGAAACTGTGAATATCTTTTTGTAATATTTTTTCAACTGACTTAAAAAAAAGGAGAAGCTTCTCAATTCGTTGGAATCTTTTTTTATGTATGTTCACGGATTACTCGAAGATGCCTGAACTGATTTGAAAATTCTTCTTTTTTTGTTTCAAAGGGTATCTTCCCAGGTGGTCCCATTTAAATTTTATCAAAATCGGTTGAGTGGTTTTAAAAAAAATTGCAATAAATTATATTTATATTGAAGTCACTTGTAGAGTTAATATTACATAGCAACAGCATACTATATTGTACAGTTAGTTGAGAAACAATAACAGACCTAACGGTAACTGAAGTATGTTCTATGATGTACTCAAAAAAGGATGATTATAAATTTGGACCTTATTAGTGTGTAATAGCACACAGCCTGAGCAGACCAGCCTCCACAAGTTGCACCGGTTTACAAGCATGATTCAGTGACTTCCATCACCCTCCTCAAACACACAGATGTATTTCCAAAAAATAAGACTGTAAACAGTTTATTGAACACACTTGTAATTTCCCGAAGGACCACTTACAATTCTCTCTTAAAAAACCAACTATGTAGCTACACATTATGTATTCACACTACCAATAGTTAAAGTCACAAATTTACATAGCTTGGTGTTGAATTTGAATAACACCATTCACACTCCTTTGTTATCAAAATATTCATTTAAAATTTTAAACTATACAAAGCTTTGATTTTTTAATTTTCTTTTGGGAAGGCTTAAAACATATGAAATTTTATTATATATTTGTGTGCATTATTCCATGAATGACTTATCATAGTTAAATATTTTTTGACTTAGGTATTCATATTTACATAAAATTTTCAGGTTTTTGTGAGCAGTTGAGTTTCACATTGCAGCATTTGCATGTTCTCAAAACTTCTTTGTATTGCACAAATTTAGAAGTTTTCTGAAAGTTAGGTGAACAAAATCATGGATGGGTAAATAACAAACAGTTTTTTAATTTATAAATTGTAGAATTATTAAATCTTTATTATACAAAATAAAAGTAACTATAATTATTGATAATTAACTGACTTCTCAACTACTTCATATTTATATTTATTGAGAGAGAGATTTGTATATTGTAGAGAAAATATATCATATTTAGAAGCTGCAGCAAGATTCCCTCTGGGGTACGAAGATCCTTTGCTGACACAATAAGAAGCCACCTCGTAGTTCTTCTCAACAGACCCCTTATCCCACGAATGACAGTCTATCAACTCCTTTGGCTCAGCCTTCACAATCTACATCATATAAAAAACAATCTTTATTCCGAAACATACATCCAATCATTAAATTCTGGATATGATAAGCCAGCCCATCAGGCAATTGTTGAGAATCCTACTTCTTCCCTTCCAAGTAGGTGTGCTATACTGGGGAATGACAACATTTCTAATAATGATAACTTCTGCGAACTTATGATATCAATGTTAATTAACATGATTTCCCGTTTTAGTGATGCAGAACTTCCCCTCAGTTTACGTCAAAAACTTACTCAACTTACTTCAATAACTAGCAACATTCACAATTCTACAATGGAATTGTCGTAGTATCAAACATAAAAAGAATTAACATATCTTTCTTATTAAAAGTTTATATAAGATACAGTATAAATGTCTCTGCATTATAATTGTTGTAATGAAATCTTCAGGTAGAGTGTGTTGATCCTCCTCTCAACATAAGAAAACAATGTCTTTCAGACAGATTTTTCTTTAAGATCTGTCAACTCCTCATCCCCTAATTTTCAGGCCACACTTCCTCTCAGAATTCTTATCTTCAAGTAGGTACTGGCTCCATAAAAATTGTCCACATTTATTTAATATATCATTTCTCCAAATTTCTGGGCCCATTTTAACACTCAAAAACATATATAAAAATAATGTTTGTTCGTATTGTATGCATTGCCATACCATTCATCAGATTACGATAAAACTTTGTCAACTCATTTCTGGTACTTGCGCAATGGTCATAGGCATAGAAATTACATTAGGTAGTGTGTGTATCATACCGATAAATTTATTTGAAAGTTATTTATCATTCAATTTCAATTATTGTTTTATCATTCCTAATTAAACAATATTACTCTTCCAAACTTAAAACAATATTTCCACAATTGTTTCTTCTGCAACAGCGACGCGCCGGTACTAGCTAGTAAATAATATTATTTTTATGACATATTATTTTTTTATCTTTCATTTCATTTCTGTTTTTTGTAATCATCTTGTTGGTCTAGTGTTCGTAAGCACGGTTGGTGATAATATTCAAAACTCGGGTTAGATCAAAATAAGTTATTAGGGTTTCTTGTCGAGATTTTTTGCATAGGATAATTTATATTATGGAATAAGGCTGACAAACAAGCACCGATGGCAAGTGGATGTTGTGGTCTATAGACATTTATCCTCAATTAAGGATCAAAATGCTGGTGCGTTGTAACCCCTGAGGACTAAGATAGAATGCCTCTTTCCAATAAAAAGGGTCTCCGGTTCTCTACACTCACTATACGAAACACAGTAGCTTTAAGTTGCTATTTTACGCTGGTGTTCTGTGAGAGCGTGGTCCTTCCCCGTTCGAGCCGACCCATTCGTGCCACAACCATAATATAGCTGCAAGAAATTCTCAATAGCAACTAGTAGTCGGGAAGTTAGTATTGTTTCACCGCCGTGCCTCTGAAAGCACGTAAAGCCGTTGAACCTGCGCTTAATCTGTCTCCAGTTGTGTCGGATTGCCGTCTCATCGGATTATCGACTCACTGGCCCAAGACGCAAAAGACAAAGCCGACCTTTTAGGCTCCCTTTTTGCGTCCAACTCGACTCTTGATGATGGGGGGAAAATACCGCCGACCATCCCGCGGTGTGAGTGCTCCATGCCGGATGTGCTATTCTCACAGCGCTCAGTTCGCAAAGCACTTCTCTCCCTGGAAATCCAGAAGTCGAGTGGGCCTGACGGAATCCCCCCAATTGTGCTGAGGACGTGTGCTCCGGAGTTGGCACCGGTCCTAACGCGTCTTTTCCGGTACTCCTACTCCCAAGGCGTAGTCCCAAATTCATGGAAGACAGCTTTTGTCCACCCGATCCCTAAAAAAGGCGACCGCTCAGACCCGTCCAACTATAGGCCTATCGCGATCACCTCCTTGTTCTCCAAAATAATGGAATCCATTATTAACTGCCAGCTCATCCGGTACCTTGAGGATCACCAGCTGATTAGTGACCGCCAATACGGTTTTCGTCGGTGTCGATCAGCTGGTGATTTTCTGGTCTACCTGACCCATAGATGGGCGGAGGCAGTAGAGTCCAAGGGGGAGGCGTTGGCCGTTAGTCTGGACATTGCGAAGGCCTTTGATCGGGTTTGGCACAAAGCGCTTCTTTCGAAGCTGCCTTCCTATGGGCTTCCCGAGAAATTGTGCAATTGGATCACCAGCTTTCTTGCAGATCGGAGCATCAAGGTCGTTGTAGACGGTGCATGTTCTGACTACAAGCCTATTAACGCTGGTGTTCCACAAGGCTGTGTGCTATCACCAACGCTGTTTCTTCTGCATATCAATGATATGTTGCTAACTGGTAACATTCATTGCTATGCGGATGACAGCACTGGTGATGCTCTATACACCGGCCGGGCCAATATTTCTCGGGAAAACGTCGCCGAGTACCGGAACAAACTTGTGTCTGAAGTCGAGTCTTTGCTGGACAAAGTCTCGGATTGGGGGCGACTAAATCTAGTCCAGTTTAATCCTCAGAAGACACAAGTTTGCGCGTTTACCGCTAAAAAGAACCCCTTTGTCGTATCTCCTCAGTTTCAAGGCACTCCCCTTCTTGCCTCAGCCAGTATCGGTATCCTCGGAGTCGACATATCGAGTGACGTGCAGTTTCGTGGTCACTTGGAAGAGAAGGCCAAATTGGCCTCTAAAAAGCTTGGCGTGCTCAGCAGAGCGGGACAGTATTTCATGCCGGCACACCGCCTGCAACTTTACAAGGCGCAGGTTCGGCCTCACATGGAATACTGTTCCCATCTCTGGGCAGGGGCTCCCCAGTGCCAGCTCCTTCCACTTGACCGCATCCAGCGCAGAGCGGCTCGAATCGTCGACGACCGAGCCCTTTCCGATCGGCTCGATTCATTGGCACTGCGAAGAGATGTTGCATCTCTTTGCATTTTCTTTCGCATCTACCATGGGGAGTGCTCTGAGGAATTGTTCGGATTAATCCCAGCCGCCAAATTTCACGAACGCACATCGCGGCAGAACTCCCGATACCATCCACACCATCTGGATGATTGGCGGTCCACCACTGTGCGATTTAGAAGATGTTTTCTTCCTCGCACAACTTCCTTGTGGAATAGTTTACCACCAGGGATTTTTCCGGACCGATACGACTTAGGGACCTTCAAGAAAAGAGCCTACTCCTTTTTAAAAGGCCGGCAACGCATCTGCAATTCCCCTGGTGTTGCGGTTGTTCATGGGCGGCGGTAGTCACTTACCATCAGGTGAGCCGCATGCTCGTTTGCCCCCTCTCCTATAAAAAAAAAATTATGAGAGTGAGGTAATGGAGAGAACACACACTCGTGCACTATAATTCTACCTTGCGCAGATGGCTAGTCTTCATTGTTACTGGCCGCCGTGGCTGAAATTCAGTCTACAGTACATTATTTATTTTTCTTTGTTTCATGTATAATATTTTCATTAATCAAGATCAGTTTGTGTATTCAAATTAAATGGTTTCGGTTCTCAGGATAACTATAGTCGATATTAGGTCGCTAGCAAAGGATCTACCGCTGGAGACCGCTCTTCAGGCGAAGAGAATGCGCTGTGAGTAAGTAGTTCGACTTGAAGTGTGTCAGCTGCAGATATAATATATTATTCTGATTATAATATTACAAAGGAAAATATTTTTATTTTACTAGCTTCAAATTGACACCCAAAGTTGCTCCTGCATCACCACCACATATTATGTCCCCACCTGTTGAAGATACAGCGGTCAAAAGCACATCACAACCAGCTGATGAACATCCACTGGCATTGGCGTCATCGACACCATCTGCTGGGCAGTAAGTTCCTTAATTTTCTATCTATATCTTTAGCTTCACCATCAGCCCGCACTGTTCTCTATAATGCCAATCCTTACTGTGTCATCTAAAATCTAAAAGAAAGATAGAATTTATTACAATTGTGGAATAGAGTACAATGTTTTTTTATTCAATATTGATTATTACATAATACTTATTGAAAGTCATTTTTTTATTTACCACTGGTTTGGAAAATACCTCTGTCCTGGGAAGAACCAGCAAAAAATCCAGTGTGATTTTTTTTAAACATATTTCACTTTACAATAATTTTGTTTGTACAATTTTTAAATGAATTTTCATAGAACCTGCATGGTGGCGATCACCTCATTTCCAGGGGTTATTTTCATTCATGTATTCCTTGATATTACAATAACCCTTTTTGTACAGTTTTTCTTTAATAAAACTTTTAAACTTGTTTATTTACAAACTTCGAACATGTGTAAGAAAAACAAAATCTAAACATACAGTTCTTGTCTTCGCAATATAGAAGTGTCAAGAACGCTGGCTGCATTTCCTCGCTGAATGGTTATACTTAGCCCTTAAGTTAGAAAAAAACCGACTCTCATATCACCAATGGTGAAGATAAGTCGCGAATACACTTCTCACACCACACCGACCAATAGTCTCAAATGTGTAGTCATCACTCAGAGACTCATACTCGCCACTTATTAAGCTCAGCTGGCTCTGATGCCGTCGCGGCTCTAAACGAGATACCCCCGAGAAGTGAGGTGGTAACTCTCACTAGGGCTTTCCACCTCTTTTTTTTATAGGAGAAGGGGCAAACGAGCATGCGGCTCACCTGATGGTAAGTGACTACCGCCGCCCATGAATAACTGCAACACCAGGGGAATTGCAGATGCGTTGCCGGCCTTTAAATTTTTCCATCTCTCTCTCTCGAAGAACCAAAGTCATACCGTCGGGTCACCTGCCACCATGCTCTAAAACCGAGGGAACATTTATAGATGTAAATGAAACTAGGTTTTAAGGATTTTCCTCGTAGATTAACTTATTTGATATTCCAGACGTTAGAGTACTTTACAGCCCCAATTTATAGTGTTCTAATAAACATAAGAAATCATAACATTTATATATAGAGACAACATCGTTCAGAGAACTGTGAAGGGGCAACCTATCAACACTTCTTACATGAAAGTCAATGGAGCCCAAACTTTTCAACGCCACTACTGCAAGGGCCATTGATCAGGTTGTCAGATTGATCGACCTAAAAGTGAAAAAACTGAATTTGTTTCAGAAACATGGAATGCGATGGTAACTTAGCAACTCGTCTTTGTCCCCTTCAATCTCCTAAGGAAGAAGAAAATTCCCAAAATAATATAATTTATGGTAAGTAGCTGCCAGTCTTTAGCAAACTCGCTCCATCGTAGACCTCATCTTTGCTCTTGGGCCAGGCGGAGGTCAAGAGTGAGCCGATTTCTAATATTTTTTTAATAAAAACCATTTTAGAGGCAACTTTAGAACCGGAGACCCTTTTTATTTGAAACGAGGTATTCAATTTTCGTCCTTAGGGGTGACAACACTTCTGCATTTTGATTCTTAATTATTGAGGATAGATGTGTATACATATTTGCCACAGCATCTACTTACAATCAGGTGGACTGTGTGCTCATATACGCATTTAAGTTCACCATTTTTTCAGGTTAACGCAAATAAGTCGAAAGTGATGGTTTTTGAAAGAGAAAAAAGTAAAATGATATGTGAAATAAAAATAGAAGGGAAGTTGATTTGGCAAGTGGATTATGGATGAGTAATGTGTATTTAGGATATAGAACGACGAGTGATTGCAGGGCACAGAGTAGATATTTCGGGTGGTTTTTACACATAGAAAGAATGAATGAGGAAAGAGTGACACAGCAAATTTATGAAGAGAGTTCATACGTGGTAGAGCCACGCTGCAGCTATATTAATAGTATAGATGGCACGAATGGGTCGGCTCGACCGGGGAAGGACCACACTCTCAGAATACCAGCGTAAAATAGCAGTTTAACACTGCTGTGTTTCGTATGTTGAGTGTGGAGAACCGGAGACACTTTTTACTGGAAAAAAGGCATTCCATCTTAGTTCTCACGGGTGACAACGCATCTGCATTTTGATTCGTAATCGAGGATAGATGTAGATGTCTATGGGCCACAGCAACTACTTACCTTCAGGTGGACTGTGTGCTCGTTTATCACCCCAATTCTATAAAAAAAAAAGAGTCGGCAAGGGACGGCCCTAGACGGAAATTTGTCGACCAAATTGATGATGTATTGAAGACTGGCCAAATTAACGAGTACCGATACCTGACGAGCATGTATGCGTAGGTATATGGATGTAAAACAAGCGAGACAGGTGTGTTAGGTTGGGCCAAATAGAAGTCCATAGTCCCTGCATACTTGTCTGAGTAACAGGTGTGAGAGTTTATATTATTAATGTTTTTTTCTTCACATTACCTAAGCATATGATGGGGATTGTACAAATACCTATTATTTGTTTATTCAGAAAGTGAAGAGTCTGAAGAGAGTGATGAAGAGGAGATGGTGGCTCCACTGATACCTAGAACTTTTCGGATAAACATAGACACTCCCGAGGATGATGACGTTACTACCACCGCAACCGTTCCTACCCATTTGGATTTTCCCACGCCTGAAATGGGAGCAGTACGGCCGTATAATCTTCACGATTTTGAGTGGAATTCGTTTCCAGACCCTCCAATTCCACCTAATTTGAGGAGAGAAAAGTTTTCAAGCAGTAATGTTGGTCCAACAACTCCGTGTGTCGATCCTTATGACACGTTCATTGGCATTTGGGATCGGCAATTTATGGAGCACATTGCCTCGGAAACCAATAGATATGCTCAGGAAGTGATAAAAAAAATGATTCTTAACCAATCTCTCACTCAAAAATGTCTTATGCGTGATTGGCGTCCCACCACCGCCGACGAACTATACACATATTTCGCCATAATCCTTGCGATGGGAATTGTGGTTAAAAACAACATTTGTGAGTATTGGGATTCCACTCTTGACATATTCTATACGCCCGGTTTTAAGACACATATGACAGCCAAGCGATTTCAATTGTTGAACAAATGTTTGCATTTTAATAGCAATGAGAACATGTGTGCTCTAAAACTGGACGCTTCCGAGGCCAACTTGTATAAAATAGAACCGGTGTTGTCACACCTCAATAGTAAATTTCAAAGCATGTACAACATGAGTCAAAATATCGCGCTCGATGAATCTCTTTTGCTGTGGAAAGGTGTGTCGGATATCGATCAATTTATTGCAAATAAAGCCGCCGCGGACGGTATTAAGACGTATGAGATCTGTGAACCTCAAACTGGTTATATGTGGCGGTTTGAGGTTCACACTCATGGACGCTCGTCGCGGAAGCAGTCTCCACAAGAAAAGTTGGAGACTTTCACAACGACCCTTGTTTTGAGACTAATACAAGGTCTCGAATACAAAGGACACACGTTGTGGATGGACAGCTTGTACAGTTCGCCAGTGCTCGCCCGGAGATTAAAGAGCTTAGGTTTTGACTGCGTTGGTACCTTGAGGACCAATCGTCAGTTTGTGCCCACGGCTCTGAGCAGTCTGACCAAAGCTAATATGCAACGAGGTGAAATCACGGGCTTCACGTCAGGAGATGTCGATCTCATAGTATGGAAAGATCTGAACCGTGTGGCGATGATTTCTACATACCACGGAAATATTAAGACTAATGACAAAGCCTACCCCAAACCAGCTCTGATTGCGGACTATAATATCATGGTGGGCGGGGTGGACAGAAAGGATCAGATGCTGGCGATGTATCCCATCGAAAGAAAACAAACAAGGGTCTGGTACAAACAATTTTTCCGTAGACTCCTTAATGTATCTGTTTTAAATTGTTTTATACTCGTGAAAAAATCGTCTTCTTCTATCTGTCAGCGTTCCTTTCGTAGATCCCTGATCCTATCCCTATTAAAAAAACATTCTTCCCTTTCCGTTGTCCCAGCTGTACCTTCAAATAGTAGTATTTTCAAAATAAAAGACCATCACTTAAAACAGTTCCCGCTCTTGCCTGTCACACATGACCGACATCGGATACGACGTGTTTGCACGATTTGCAAAAACCGGATTAACACTTTCTGTGTAGGTTGCGATAAGGCTGTATGTATGACCCCTTGTTTTGTTGCGCTACATCAATAATACATAATATAATAATATATAAATATATATGTACGCATATTATAATTCGTGTAAAATATTTGTATTATTTATTATATCTATAAACCCTTGTTTGCTTGGAGTAAGGCTCACTTGATGGTAGTTAAATCTGCGGAACCACAGAGCAAATACAAAGAGGAGGTGTTGTAATTAGATTTCACTATGTAACAACGCGTGACAATTTGCGGGCTGAGAGGATGTTAAGCCCCGCCCACTTTACTATCTACATCTACCGATAAACATTAAAACTATTCGAATCGTTCCATTTAGATGTTGCAATGTAGTTTAGCTACCTTGACGATAGGTGGCAGCCTGTTCACAAAATGATTATAAAAACTATAAAAATAATATTTTGGCGATTAAAAATTCTTTAGGACTGAATAAAAAATAAATTTCAACGCCTTCGTATGATTATTTTACCAATACTGAGCTCTACGTAACTTTATATCTTTAGTTCCCATGACAAAGTGTCACCATCTAGTGGCGAATATATTTAATTACATTCGAAAACTGACGCAGTGATTTTTCTAGAACCTTTTTAATAAATTAGGTATAAAATTACTTACAATCATAAGCATCAGAGCGTCTACTTGAGTAGTTTTTACGCGATGAAACACAACACTTCATCCTTTTCTTCTGAATACTACGAAAATGCACCGATTTGAGATTTTCGACACAAGCGCACAGGACGAACGCTGACAGTATACTAAGTAAAGCCACGCCCACTGTAATGACGTCAGGACTTAGAATCACAGTGCACAGTTGCTTATGCCATGTCTTCTTTGTATTTGCTTCGTGTGCGGAACCAATGTCTTACATCTACGGCGTGTGTTGTAGTTTTGATTCAGCTGAATCGATGTCTTTGCTTCTTTGGACTATGATACCACGATAAGATACCACGGCCCACTTGATGGTGTTGCTTGTAGTTAATTCTGCTGAACCGAATTTCTTTGACCAACCATGCATGGCTTGCACGTGTGTAAAAAATGTAAGTACGGCTTTACAAAATAGAATAGTCGAGTTGCGAACTTCCTCTATTTATTTTTTCTTGTTATAAATAGTTAATGACTCACTAATATAATAAAAAAAATTTAATTGCATTACTTATGGTTGTTCTAAGCACTTTTTATGTTCAAATATTACATGCTAATATTCAGGTGTGACATATCATAGCCATATTGGTTTTTTGCAGTAAAATTTTTAGTTGTTGATTTCTGAAATGTTGTTGTCTAGAAAGATGTCTTTTTTGTATATTTAGTATTTGCTACATGATCGAATTGTTATATTTGAAATAAATTTAACTCAAGCCAAAGTTTGAGCTAATAAATATGAAACTAAACGCATCTTACAACTGTACCGTAAAATCGGAATGTTAATGCATTATTTGTGTTCTTATAATGTTTGTACCACACAATACTGTATGTTCATATCTAGACATGTTATATAACTAAAACGTCCAGCAAAATTTATTTGTGTTTGTTAAAAAAGTGATTACATGAGTTTGCAATGAAGTCACAGGTGCTTAGTAACTAAGACTGCTACCATAGACTGATACTAACCTGATAAGAACCTGACTATATATATATATATAGACCTGACTATATATATATATATATATATATATGAACTACTATATATATATATATGAACCTGACTATATATATATATATATATAGACTATATATATATATATATATATATATTATATTTTCGATATTATAAACCTTACCATTATTTAAAAAAATGTTGAATATAAATATATTGCAATGTAGTATAGTATCAAATGATGACAAGACTAAGTATATTTTCTTGCCCGTCGCTATTGAGTGGACAAAGTCTAAAAGCTATCTAGAACATTTTCTCCTACTCCAATGGTCAATGACTTAGGGCTCTCGCCTTTGATAAATGCAGAATTTATATAATAGAATAGAATAATTTTTATTCAATATAGATTATTACCTAATACTTAATGAAAGTCATTTTTTATTTACCACTGGTTCGGAAAATACCTCTGTCCTGGGAATAACCAGCTAGAAACCCAGCGGGACTTTTTTAAACATATTTCGCTTTACAATAATTTTGTTTGTACCATTTTTAAATGAATTTTAATAGAACCTGCCTGGTGGCGATCACCTCATTCCCAAGGGTTATTTTCATTTATGTATTTTTTGATGTTATAATAACCCTTTTTGTACAATTTTTCTTTAATAAAACATTTAAAGATGTTTATTGATAAATTTTGTACATAAATGAATTGCTAATTCTGTGGAGTTCAGTAACTGGTATTACAAGCTTATGTTTGTTCTTAGTGAATATTATGAATATTATGTTTTTATGTACCAATGTGCAGTTTATAAATTAAATGTAGTTAATATAACAGCAGTTATTCTTTATTCATATAATGATATACAAGTAGCTCTATGAACAAAATATTCAGTTATCATTATCATTACAGCTTATAAATGTCCACGGCTGAACACCGGCTTCCCACATAGATTGCTTCATAGGAAGAATTTTGCCATAGTTCCAGAGCTTGGCAGGCGAGTAGGCAATCACAGTTTTTTATTTGAGTTAGCAGAAGGATGCTGCCGCTCATCTGTTTCAGTTTCCCACTGACGCTTGTTATGATATATGATAATAGCCTAAGTATTATTAATAGGCTATATTTGAAAAAAAAATAGTCTACCAAATTCTCTATGGCTAATTATTTTCGAGGCGACTAACTGTTTTGTTGCTAAAGAAATTACTTGGCAGCGATTAAATATTTTAGAATTAACTTTTTTAACATTAACTTCATCATACGTACAGCAAAGAAGTGGAATAAGTTGCCAGCATCTGTCTATCCATATGATTACAGTGTGGGTGTCTTCAAGGCAAGAGTGAATAGGCTTTTGTTAGTGCGCTTGACCATCTTACGCTACATCACCACTTACCAACAGATGGGATCGTAGATAAGCGCTGGCTTAGTAGAATATTAAAAAAAATATACTTTTGGGCTGCGATTTGCAAACAACTGTAAAGATTAAAACAGGTACTATAATTAAGTATCAAGATTTCAGTAGTTTTGTTTGTAGAATCATAATGTAATGATTCTACAAAAAAAAAAATACTGAAATCTGTGAATGGGATAATGAATTTCACCGACTACTAACAACGCTTTGGAAGCATTAAACAAGTCAATCAAATATAATACTATGCGGGAACGCTTTCCCCTATCACGATTCCTTACTGTGGCAAGCGAGATGGTTACGCAGTGGTCAAACGATATCACTGAAAACTCATTCCCAGAAACACACAAGATTGAACTTAATACGCATTAAGTAAAATTTTGACATTACAAACAGACCCTTCAACTTTATTTATTGGTATAGATTACTATCCAAAAATATTTTAGAAACTAAATGACGGAAACACTTAGTTTCTAAAATATTTTTGGATGTTTACCCCTTGATTCAATTTTGGCTTTCTTCTACACAAGAGGTGGTACAGAAACTATGCTTATGTTTTTATTTTAGATCAAGTAAGATAGTTCACATGTTCACACAAAAACACAAAGTTGTATACTTACTATAACTAATATATTAAGGCAAAAAATTGCAAACAAGCCTTGGCAATAATTAGCAACACTTCGAAAAATTTATTAAAAAAGCTACACACTACTAAAATTGACTAAAATGTTTGCTATCATGTCGACTATGAAAATGGCGTCGATAAAGCAGCGCCTTTTTGACCCTTTATTATTTGGTTGACTGATGAAGAACTATCGTATTACAGAGCCATCAGTGCAAACAAGGCTGCAGTTTTTGAGTTGTAAGAAAATGACCATATTAACCGGATGACCATATTACCCTCACTTAGGCGGCGTTACGACGACACGCACCCGCTACGCGCACGCCACGCGCGTCAGCACCCGCGCCTAACTCGCTTTGAAATTTGTTGCATATAATTTGAGTCTTATGGCAAATCAATAAATATGAAATTGTATAAAAAGCGCGGGTGCAAGGCGTAGCGGGGTGGGTGCAGCGCGGGTGCGGGGCGAGCGCGGGGCCGGCGCGGAGCGGGAACGAGGCGGGCGCGTGGCGTGGGCGAGGCGTGTCGCAAATCCGCACTAGATGCGGTGTACCTCTGCCCCGAAGTAGTACTAAATAACGTTTTTCTTATTCATCTATCTTCCTGCTCTTACACACTAAACTATTTTGTTGCAATTTTTATTCAATGATTAAAATATTTATGCAGCTGGATTCGTATCACATATCACTTTCAATAAGATGGCAAAGTCTTCAGACAATACTTACGTTAACAAATATTTAACGCTGTCAATCCGTCTTCCAATGGGATAAATAAGGCAAATAATCCTTTCTACAACGGAAGAGGCCCAGCGGTAGTCTTTTACGAGCTGTCAAGAACCCTCTCATATATTAGAGGAGGCCAGACAGCAGTACACGGCAGTAGGATGTACAAAGGCTTTACTTAGGCTTACTTTGATTCTATAAATTTTTCTTAACTTTTCATTGGGTGGATTATTCCGTTTGACGTAAATTATGTCGCATCAAATGATATGTAATTCAACAATTATAAGTATTTCAGTTTTGACCTTTACTCGTAAACAAGAAGTATGTATATATTTTTATAAGCCAGCTTCTATCATGTTTGTTGTTTCTATTTTGTAAACTACTGTACACAGCCGAGGAAGAAAATCGGAAGAAAAATATACGAATTCTGATTATCCACCCCGTCTGGGCTGGATAAACGAACACGCGTTTCCGACATCCTAGGGTGAATTTCTTAGGGTAGAGAAACGGAATAACCCCATGAAATAAATATCAAGAAATGTCCGTTATTATTAAACTATCTATTATACTTTTATACAATATTTAACATTTAAGTTTTAGTAGTATTTACCCTGGTACCTCAGGCGAGATCTTACCTCTAATTTTATAGCATTTGCAAGACAACTCTAACCGCCGCCGACATTACTAAAATTGTTAGCGGCAATTTTGAGTGCTTACGTTTGCCTTTAGTGTTGTTAGGATTGCCTCAGGATGCGACCTTTATAGTTTCCTAATTCCACCTTATAACATGTGCATTGCTTAATGTGAGTACATCGTCACGTCGATGATAATGAAGTGTTAAGTGCTTTTGTATAAGAAGGTAGTATAGTACAAGTCATGCAGTGATGAGTCGAAAGCAAAAAGTATAGTAACTGTCTTATACAGGAAGTTAGTGTTAAGGTATCATTATATCAATGACATGTTGAAAATCAAACTTTTTTTTGGAGTTGGCCTGGTATCTAGACCTTTAGGCCAAGTCTTGAGTCTAGTTCACTGCTTCACAATATGTTGATGCGTCACATTGTGCAGCCCTTGGGAGATTTTGACGGCAACTTTAGCCAGCAGACAGCTGATAGTTGGCGATGGTATCTCAAGGCCCCTATGCAGACAAACAGCTTATCTTGAGAATCACATTACCACCAGAGCACCCGTTTCCACTAATAGTTCACATGTGTAGACAGTTAATACATAAAATCGCACCACTTTTACATATCCAAATCCACTTCAAACTATTATTTAAACAATAATACAGGAGCAGCAAACCGCCGTCGGTCAAGTTCTAGCCAAAACCTCCTCGAAAATCAAACTTTGTTATTACAGTGTTGCCATAAAGTAAAAATTATACTGCAGTGTATACCTAATGTTGCCATGTATAAATGTTTCTATATCAACAAAGTTTGGTAACCATAGTACCAATTCATTGAAAAGGGAATGAAAAGCAAAAACTCCATACTATGCTGAATGTTTATTTGGATTTATCTTCTAAAACATTATAAACACAGTAAAATATACAAATAAATGCGAAAGAATATATTTAATATTATAATAGTGCCCATAAGTAGTTTAAAATAATTTTAAAAAACAAAACTAATCATTCTACGCTTTAAACAAATAATATTAATAACAATTATATTAGTATACATTTCATAATATTTCATTCGTTAAGGTTTACAATAAATTGTGCTTTTTCATCTTAAAATCTATATTAGCCAAATTAAAATTAGAACAAGAAACAAAGTAGCCGCCATCAAAATATTCAACGTGTTGCCAGTCTATAAAACAACAATCTTTCGACAAGCGACACAACACAATATTTCGGCGCACGTCAATAAAATGTAAAATAATAAACCTGATATGGTTAAATCGGAAGTTCTTAATAATATAGTTAGCGTCAACAGTTTCCTTAACATTCGTATAAAAGTCATCTCTCGAATATAATCTTATCTAAAAGGTAGACATCTTACAAGTAGACACGTTACAAAATGTCTGAAAACGGAATGGCGACGCGAAAACGGTCGCATTCAATATTATATTACCCTAGAAGAAAGTTGTATGCCGTGGTGATAGGTATATATAATTTTTGGAATATAATGTTTTTTTTTAAAATTGCTACGAAGATTTGCTACTGTTTTCTCCATCCCGAAATGAGGGTTATCAGGATAGTTCCCGTCTTAACGCCTTGCCAATTAAGCTAAGATTTACAATCTGTATACATTGAGTATGGCTTTGTTTGAGTATTGTAAAACGTGGTTTAAAAATATAAAGTGTTTTCTAAAATTCTATATTTTATAATCCTCTTTTTAATTGATTTCACGTCTTGTTTTTTTTTGTGGACTATAATTTTACGCTAACCAGATGTCGCAAGTTGGAAGTGAGGTGAAGTTGTATTGTGAAGTTTTAAATAAAAAAAATTATCGGTTTCTAGTGTATAAATTCACAAAACAACAGACAGTGGTTCGCAGTTTAATATTTTGCACATTTTATTTACTCTTTTTTTAATTTTCCTTCTTTTAAGAAAATCCGTAGTTTGGTTTATCCATTTCTAATCTAAATAATATAAAATATTACTATTTTTTTTTAGAAATAAATATTAACTCTTACATAATATTTCACCTCATTTCTAAGTGGCGCCGTCCTGGTGGCATAAAAATTCGTGGACAGATTTTGTCAAAAACATCTCAGGAAAATGGGTTGCGATTGGCGAAAGGTAATGGAAGAAACGCCATCAAGACAGGAAATATCCAGTGCAGAAACTCTTAACTACATTGCGTAGAAGCTTGAATATTTATATTTTCAATCTAATGATACATTTCTTGATAACATGATAACATGTAACATATACAAACATGCACATAAATAACATGCTTGATAAATCTTGCTACGTCTACGCACTACACGCAAAACTGTTCAACGAACTCTTTTAATATCTACGGCCATTTTCACGTGGCATAATATTATATCCTGAAGAATGGAGATTTCATCTAATTTTAAAAATACGTTTCGCTAATATATATAGGCCATAATTCACCATCGGAACTTTGGTAAGAAATGTTTACCGGTTGCGTAAAATGTCTCAAAACAGGGTATTTTTAAAGCTAACATTGTGTTATTAAAGCTTATTATCAAGCTGTCTTATTCGATTTTTAATCTGTAGCTATAAAAATCGATTTGCATTTCGTTTTTCGTGATATTTTTACACGTGTCAGTTATTTTATACACAGCAAAAATGATATGACAATTTACACGAAGTGATATGAGTATAATGAAGATTGTACTAACAAGATATGTACTTAAAACGATTAATAAATGTAGGTTTATAGACAAATTTGGTACATTTTTTTAAATTATAAATGCTCGTTACATTTTGTCTTTTTCGTTGAATCGTTTCGCTCTGGCAACATTTGGAGTTACCGCAAAAACAAAAGAAAAGTTGGTAAAAAACAGTTATAGAATAAATAGAATGACTCAATCACGACACGTACTGCAACAATGGCATGCCCTTATTTATACAATAAGCGTTGCATACGATAATCGTCTATCCGAACCTTAAGCTATTAGGAACTAAGTCAACTACGTGGTTAGTCCCGTATAACCTTAATTTAGAGGCTTCAACCTCTATACACATTGCAATTAGGGCTGCTAGATTGTATAAAAATATACATTTTCAATCATCATGAATTTAAAAAATTTTTCGCAGTTATATATTCGAATCATACGAAATTTGAAATTTGCAAAAATACCTATACCACACTTAACCACCAACACCCGAATACCTTTCTATCGCTCTAAAAATGGTATACCATATCATAATTGTTGAAAAGCACCCTAAAACAAAGAAAATTGTGGGGAAATCAAATTCAAGTTCGTTTTTCTAATACTACAAAAGTACCTTAATTTTTGTTATATAACATGGCTGTATTATTCATAAAATTATCTCGTAGCCCTATTCGCAACATATACAAAACTCTCACGTAACTTACATCAAGTGAGGGTTAGGGAAGCCCGGTTCGACACTATTAGTGGATGATAATGAAGTGTTAAGTGCTTTTGTATAATAAGGTAGTATAGTACAAGTCATGCAGGTTTGTTAGTGATGAGTCGAAAGTTAGTATTAAGGTTTCATTATATCAATGACATGTCGAAAATCAAACTTTGTTATTACAGTGTTGCTATAAAGTAAATATTCTACTTCAGCGTATACTTAGTGTTGCCATGTCATACTATATCAACAAAGTTTGGGAAGCAATACCATTGTAGCAAAATTTCTTTGGTGTAACAGAAAAGTGTTGCCAGAGCGTTAAAATCGAATTGGAAGCGGGGAGACGTGTTGCCATATTGTTTTAAGTACTGGCAAACAGTGATCCCACGTTTCGCAGCACCGAGTTCGTTTTGTTGAAGATTGATGACCGCTTGCTGGATTTATTGTTCTTTATCATCGGCCAGCTTCCCGTTGGTGTATTCTGGAGGTGCGTGTGAAGTTTGGTTTGGTTGGTCCTCCGTCATAACTGACACTAATTCTTCAACGGCGCGCCCAAGGTCATCTGGAATATTATAATATATAATTATATCGTACTGTATACCATGTAATTTTAATATAAACTATTATATTAACATTAAAGGTAAGAAATTGCCGGTTTTTAAGTTATAAGATTTCTTCTGCACGATATCTATATTACATTTTAGAATACTATAGATACTATCAATTGTTTTAGATATTTTTATTTTTTCATTAAATCATTTATTTACATAAAAAAATAAAAACATATTATACAATATTAAAAACCATAATTTTTATTATGGTAACTAAAATTCAAAAGTTAAATTATCGTGCAGGCGTAAATTACCGTATCGCCTTTAAGCGAGGAAAGAACCAGCCCTCTTATCTCAGAGACATATATTTGCGCCACTCACCTAGTTCAGTGGTCTCTGATGCCACCCCTGCTTTTTTTTTTATAGAAGAGGGGGCAAACGAGCATGCGGCTCACCTGATGGTAAGTGACTACCGCCGCCCATGAACAACCGCAACACCAGGGGAATTGCAGATGTGTTGCCGGCCTTTCAGAAAGGTGTAAGCTCTTTTCTTGAAGGTTCCTAAGTCGTATCGGTCCGGAAAATTCGCTGGTGGTAATTGATTCCACAAGGAAGTTGTGCGAGTGAGAAAACTTCTTCTAAATCGCACAGTGGTGGACCGCCAATCATCCAGATGGTATGGATGGTAACGCGAGTTTTGTCGCGATGTGCGATGGTGAAATTGAGCGGCTGGAATTAGTCCGAACAATTCCTCAGAGCACTCCCCGTGATAGATGCGATAAAATACGCAAAGAGATGCAACATCTCTACGCATTGCCTGTGTATCGAGCCGATCAGAAAGAACTCGGTCGTCGACGATTCGAACCGCTCTGCGCTGGATGCGGTCAAGTGGAAGGAGCTAGCACTGGGGTGCCCCGGCCCAGAGATGAGAACAGTATTCCATATGGGGCCGAACTTGCGCTTTGTAAAGTTGCAAGCGATGTGCCGGCATGAAATACTGTCTCGCTCTGCTGAGCACGCCAAGCTTTTTAGAGACCAATTTAGCCTTCCCTTCCAAGTGACCACGAAACTGCACACTATTCGTTATGTCGACGCCAAGGATTCCGATACTAGCTGAGGCAGCAAGGGGAGTGCCTTGAAACTGAGGAGATACGACAAAGGGGTTCTTTTTAGCGGTAAACGCGCAAACTTGTGTCTTCTGGGGATTGAACTGGACTAGATTTAGTCGGCCCCAATCCGAGACTTTGTTAAGCAAAGACTCGACTTCAGACACAAGTTTGTCCCGGTACTCAGCGACGTTTTCCCGAGAAATATTGGCACGGCCGGTATATAAGGCATCACCAGTGCTGTCGTCTGCATAGCAATGAATGCTACTAGTTAGCAACATATCATTGATATGCAGGAGAAACAGCGTTGGTGATAGCACGCAGCCTTGTGGAACACCAGCGTTGATAGGCTTGAAATCAGAGCATGCACCGTCTACTACGACCTTGATGCTCCGATCAGCAAGGAAACTGGTGATCCATTTGCACAATTTCTCGGGAAGCCCATAGGAAGGAAGCTTCGAAAGAAACGCTTTATGCCAGACCCGATCGAAGGCCTTCGCTATATCCAAGCTAACGGCCAATGCCTCCCCCTTAGACTCTACTGCCTCCGCCCATCTATGAGTCAGATAGACTAGAATATCACCAGCTAATCGACCTCGACGAAAACCGTACTGGCGGTCACTAATCAGCTGGTAATCCTCAAGGTACCTCATGAGCTGGCAGTTTATAATGGATTCCATTATTTTGGAGAACAAGGAGGTGATGACAATAGGCCTGTAGTTGGACGGGTCTGAGCGGTCGCCTTTTTTAGGGATCGGGTGGACCAAAGCTGTCTTCCATGAATTCAGGACTACGCCTTGGGAGTAGGAGTATCGGAAAAGACGCGTTAAAACCGGTGCCAACTCCGGAGCACACGTCTTCAGCACAATGGGAGGGACTCCATCGGGCCCATTCGACTTGCTGACGTCCAGGGAGAAGAGTGCTTTGCGAACCGAGCACTGTGTAAACAGCACTTCCTGCATGGAGCACTCACACCGCGGGATGGTCGGCGGTGTGTTCCCCCCGTCATCTAGAGTCGAGTTGGACGCAAAAAGAGAGCTCAACAGATCGGCTTTCTCCTTTGCGGCATGGGCCAGTGAGTCGTCCTCCCTGTGCAGAGATGGAAGAGATGGCTGACAGAAGTTCCCTTGGACAGCCTTGGCGAGAGACCAGAATGCACGGGTTCCCGAAGGAAGGCGAACTAGTTTCTCGCCAATTCTACCGATATGCTCAGACCTTGCCTTGGCAATGACGCTTTTGAAGGACCTGGAGGCGGAATTATACTTCTTTTTAAGTGCGCTGGTGTTTACATCCCGAGACGTTGATGCGTCAGCTCAGGCCCGGTAGCACTCCTGCTTATAGCGTGATACTATTTTACAGGAGCGACCAAACCATGGCTGGGATCACATCAGCAACAGAATCGGCTACAACGCTGGGATCTTCCGGCGAGAAGCAAACCCGCCCCCAAGGGTACGATGCAAAAAAAGACCGCATCCCGTCCCAATCAGCTGACCTATAGTGCCAAACACGGCGGCAAGCTGCAGATCGCAACTGCGATTGGACTAGGTGCCCCTGAGATATTTATTTTTTACGGTACGTATGTTCGAGGTAAAATAGCAGCACTCTGCCGTCCTAACCTACCCATATATATTTGAAATGCCACTTGTCTAATAAGATAAAATAGGTAGTATATCCAGAATTAAAATCTTTTTCATTTCTTGCGCAAAAGTATGCTTTGGTTGTTTCAAACCATTTTCTGAAGGACAAGATGCACTATTACCCCTGATATCTATGATGAAATGACTCACAGCTAGAGCTATGAATTTTTTTTAAAATATAACATATTATATTACCTCACGGAATGCGTCCTGATACGAATGCAAAAAAGAAAACCTTTATTTATAAAAATTTTATAAACAATGAGACAAACGACAGTAACACCATGCAGCCTTCATGCAAAATTGATGAGTAAAATATAAAACAGTAAAACACTCAAAACAGAGGTAACAAAAGCAAATCTGATACAAAATCATAATTTGTCTAAGACATTCTATTCGATAACTATATGACGAATTTAATTAAATTCAAACCTTTAAGAATGCATAACATTTAAATCGATTTTGAATCGAAACAGCTGTCAAATTTTGTTAATGTTAGCAATGTCTGAAAAAAAAACAGCAACTAAAACCAAAAATTCGACACAGCAAGTTAAAGAAACAAAAAAAAATACCAAAAATTCGATTGCGATCGATGCTAGGTCCTTAGCGACAACCTGGTAACAACCAATCTAAACAAATATGTATCTACTATTGGAAGCGTATTGAATAATCATATTTAGTTTTGGATAAATTATCTTAATAATTGATCATTATTATGTGTATGTGTTTACTCTCTGATAAGTGATAATAGAGATGTTTAATTTATTATCAGCGTACGATAAGTATAGAACTCTTATATTTACGCGAACACTACACATTGAATAAAACTATGTTTTACGGATTTTATCGCGTTTAATTTTACTATTTTAATTCCCGACGTTTCGGGTGCTTTACAGCAACCCATGGTCACGGGGGGTCTGTCCCTCCCGTGACCATGGGATAGAACTGTCAAAGTAACATTTTGCTTCGCATTGCGCTCTAACTTCATGTGCAACCTGCTTTTTTATTTTCAATTTTTAATGAATTTCCTTAAATAAATATTATATGATAAGGCTTAGTAAAATGGCAAGCCATTAATCTTAACGTTTAGAGAGTGAAATTGTATTCTTACTCTCTAAGCTTATTCTGCGTATATTGAATCCCTTCTCTTTGTTTTTTTTAAAGTGTGAGAAGTTATTATAGATACATATTTTTCTATAAAGTTTCATAGTTCATAACATTTATCTCTAAAAATATTTTTTAGAGTTTTGAAAATAAATTATTGATAGAATCGTGTATTAGGCTCAATTTACATTGCGGCGGATTAAAATGGAATGCAAGCGTCATTTTTGCCTCGTCGTGCACCTGTAAGAGAAAGACTGCGCCTTGACCATATAACCACCGTTCAGTTATTTAGTTTAGATGTTTTAAATAAAACTAATTTTACGGATTCTATCGCGTACCTTCAGCTGAAGGTAGCCGGGCTAACTATGACAGCAGGACGTCAAACAACTCAGTCTCCCGTGACCACGGGTGCTGGAAAGCACCCGAAACGTCGGGAATATATAAAAATAAGTTAATATACGCGATAGAATCCGTAAAATTAGTTTTATTTAAAATGTGTAGTGTTCGCGTAAATATAAGAAATCATTAGATGTTTTATTTGACCAGAATGGTTCATTGAGTATTATTTTCATAATACTTATTTGAGACAGAAGAAAATGATGAGAAAAGGAAGAATATCAGAAAAAGAAAATGAAATATGATTTATGGACGAAATAAAAACGTCACCCTTCGCGCCACTTCCCGCGGACTCCACTGACTGCGCCGAATTCCCGTAGCTACTTACGGGAATTCTCGAGAATGCGCGAGAATTCCACAAAAGACGAGCGACTTCTTTTTTGGCTCATATCTAGTTTGCACGTTACACAATTAATATAAACTTCGTTTTACTATGTGCAATTTAGTTACAAAAATTCGTTTCCATTCCGTTCCGCGGCAATGTAAATTGAGTTTTACTTGGAATATGGGAACTATGTAAATTTCAATAGAATTAAGTGTATAAATAGAATATTGAAAATGATTCCATCAGACAATTTGCCTCCAGTAGTAGATACACTAACAAAAAATCCACGACAGTTATTGAAGCTGACCTGCGCAGTGCATCAGCGAGTGAACGCTGTGAGGCGGTGGCGGCGGCCGCTCCAATGTTTCCCGCTCTCCACGTCCGCCATCTTAAGTGCAATTACGAGTCAAAATGGCGGATAATCGATATACTAATGAAATACTTACTATTTTTTTGCGAGTACAATTAGCGACGTTATATTATTTAAATGTTTTTATCGTTTTATTTGAATAACAACAATAACACAAATTATGAATTGTCATAAACGAGGCCAAAGATTAAAACAGTAATCAGAAAAACTCGACTGTTTAATAAAAAGTTTACTGAAAACAGGAAAGTTTTATATGCTATGTCTCTTCTACAATTAAGACGAGTTAAAGCCAAAGAAATAGACATACGTACATACATATTAGATACTCTAGAAAAATATACACATACTCACACATGTATAGGATATTTATCACGTTTTAAATAATTAAATGTACTCAAAGAAGAAATTTCTTTTTAATATGAATTTCATTTTAGAAAATGTAAATGGAGTCAAGTGTCAATTTTTTCATTAATTAGCTGTGGATTTAGACAGCAGTATACGAGTTTGAAAAAAAAACGGGTATCTGAAAAAAAAAAGATGTTAAGACTGTTGCTGCAATCGCCTTCTAAGAGGGCGATTAATCCAAATCCTCCTTATTATTGGAAGAGTTTAGTCTAGCACTGGAGTGAAACCATGGAGATGTCGGAAGGTTGTATAAAGGTGTTACTCACTGGTGTGTGCGTCGTGGTAGAGTCCGTTGTGCATCTTGGCGGGCGAGTCGGTGGCCAGCTGCGAGGCCGTCACCGAGCGCGTCTGCAGCGTGCCCGTGCGCGCGCCGGCCCCCGCGCCGCCCGCCGCGCCGCCCGCCCCGCCCGCGCCCGCCGGGGAGCCCTGCGCGCCCGGCTGCGGGAACAGTTACGATATCAAACACGACGCCATGGTATCGGTAAAGGACAATGCAAAAAATTGAATCGTTTTAATTTTTTTTTACATAATCACTATCATTATCGGTTAGGTATACAGATTTTCTCTGCGTCATAAAATTTGTAATGAAGGTAGCCACAGTAGAATCGGAGTAAACACCAAAGCCCCGAAGGTCATGGTAAACAAGGCTTCTACTTTTATTTGAAATTATCCAAAATTAAATGTGATTTATGGGCAACAACGTTTTTGCCTACCAATCGACCCTTACGAATGTGTGCGTGCACAGTAAAATCAGTTAATGCATAACCACGCATTTTGAATTTAAAAGATAAAAAGGACATAATGTTTGATATTTTTTTAATCAATTTTTCTTCACAATTTGCCTATATTACTTATTTTGACCTTCTCTGCAAATTTTTCCAATTATTGCAAAATAATCCTGTATAGCTAGAAAATCGACGAAGAAGAAATTTTCTAGAATAACTGTCTCGTACTGGCAAGCTGTAGAGTGACCCCCAATTAGATGGAGTAACGACCTTGTAAAATATGCAGAAAGTCGATGAATGCAAATAGCATAGAATCGTTCTTTGCTGCATTCCTTGGTTATGCCTGTGTTACCGTTTACTATATTGCAGTGTAGTATAATGAACTGCAGTGTAGTATGGTGTAGTGCAATGAATGTGGTGCAGTGTAGTGCGGTGTGACGTCACAGACCTCGTCGAGCAGCGTGCGCAGGCGCTGCAGCTGCGCCTCGAGCTGGCGGTTGTGCTCCTCCAGGATGTGCATGCGCGCCTCCAGCCGCCCCTTGTGCTGCCGCAGCAGCCGCGCCTCCGCCATCATCTCCTGAGCACACAAACACACAACGGTAAACGCGCGCTCGATCAAGGCAAATAATTATTCACCTTTGGCATATGGCGGAGGGGAGTTAAACTGATTAAGCTTAAAAACCGCGTAATGGCCATTACACCATATAAACGGTAGCGAAGCCTCCATAGAAGCCGAGAAGCAAGGCTTGCCTTTATCAAACTGCTCAATCAATAATATCAACTAATAAAATAAGTCGTAAACTGTTTCAAACTATTTCAAATTTCCTGCGCGTTTCTCTGTTCTACACAGGTCACTAATCGTCGCGGCAAAACTGCGCGATACTGCTGTCATAAAAAAAGTAGTAGAGTTGAGCGATTATTCGTCTCTCTCGCACGCGTGGGCTTTTTACCGGGCTTACGAGAAGACGATCACTCCCTTTCTAACCTGTGGCAAAATGTTCTATAATGAAATATAACTACGATCGTTTATATAGCAATTAGTATGGAGCCATAAGCTAGGTTTTTGGTGTGAAGTTAGGGCTGCGTGGGCGATACGTTTGCAAGCTCACTTCACATTTCAATATTTAATGTGAAGTGAGTGAGTGATGTTTACTTGAACAAATGAATATTGCGAGTTGAAAATTTATGCTGTTTTAAAGATTTTTAGTGAAAATGGAGGATAATAGTGTTCCTTGTAACGAATTGAAGTGTGTTCAAGTGCGAGAAAATGGTAAAATCTTTAAACTTCTTTAAATCTCCACAACTTCCTCCGCGGAACGTGCTTTCTCATCTCTGATGCGCATCCATACTTATTTGAGAAATACACAAGGTCAAGAGCGTCTTTCAAACTTATCAATTATCGCAATTGAAAAACAGTTATTCGTACAATTAAAACGTTCACCAACAGTTTACGCCGACGTAATCAAATATTTCCTTAAGAAAGAAAGACAATTCGATTTAGAATATGAATAATTTGTTTTTTTTATTATTATTTTGTACATTGTTTGTACATTGTTCAGGCTTTTTTTTGTTCATGTATTGTATTGTATGTAAATGTCTTTTTCTTTCGCTCAAGCAAACCCAAACGACTTTTTTCAAAGCCACCGAAGGTATGCAATTGCTGATATGTCATATAATCTATCTAGGAGTAGTATGCCTTCTGTGTGCTTTGTTAAGCACGTCCTCGACAGCACTGAATATGAAACTGAAGAGTGGAGACAGATCAAGGTTGGTGCATTTTTATAAAACTGCTAAAAACAACAAAACCATATCTAGGGCTTGCCCTAGTTTGGAGCCCTAGCTTCGCCACTGCATATAAATGCCTTATAATCGATCATGGTTCAGAAATTCTCGGGTCCTCCGACAGATGACAAAGCATTAACCAAATAAGCTTAGTGACTCTGTAGTGGTAAATTGCCTTTTGTTCCTAGTTTGAGATAAACGATTATCATAACGAAATATCATAAATCATCGCCTTGAAAATTTTGATATTAATACCTCCAGCCAATTTAGAAACTAAATAATAGCGTGCTTGGGAAGAAGTTCATCAAAGACCTTCTCCGGTAAACTCCCAATCAAACACTTGTCGCCAAGCTGCAATACATCGACTGTTGTTTCTGGTTCGAAGAATGCCTTTGACTTTGACCTTTGACCACGATTACTCAGATATACCTACTTACTATTTTGACAATCAAATTACCTCATGGTTAAATTCCATTACTAGAACGCTAGGGAACCTGAGTTCGAATACCTACATGAACTACCTTCGTACAAATACAATAGCCCAGAGTGTTCCTATTTTTCTAATACTAAACATAAATTCTTCTAATCAAAACCTAGAAAAAATAGATTTAGTACATACTTACGTTAGATTAGCAATGTAAAAGAGAAAGGGCATAGCTTATGCTTCCGTTAGAACGAAATATAATGTTAGACCATACACGTACACGCTATAGGCCTATATCGGGCTTACGTCAATCGTTAACGAAACAAATCCCGCTTATTTTCACGTTATCTTTTGGTTTTGAAGTATTAATAAGTATTTAAAAAGTGTGATTAAATATGGTGACGTGTTCAGTACCTGAATGACGTTTATCGAGAAAAGAAAATCCACAAAAGGATACATTTCATACGTAAGTACAATTAAAATATTTTGCACTCTAAGTGCAATATTTTAGAACTATATATACACACAAATGGATATGGAAAAATATCGCATTTTATTTCAATAATGCTCTAAATGCGTGAGAATTCTAATAAAAATAATAACAAATACGTGAATTCCCGCTATTTCTGATCTAATTTTTGTAGAGATTGACACTATCAATATCATCTTATCGATAATATCTTTATAACAGACGAAGGCATATCTTTGGAGCCTATTGTAACTTCGTAATTTATTTTAATTATATATTTTTAATTTTTAGGGTTTCGTAGCTAAATGGCATTATATTAAATACTTTAATGAGATAATTTACACTCTTATAATGTTTCAGATTTCCAAAAAATATTGAGGTTAAACAAAAATGGTTAAAAATGATAAATAGAGAAGACTGGGTTCCCAAAAAATATTCAACTATATCTATGCATAAAGAACAAAGCTGCGTTCTGATTCAATACCCACATTATTTATGCCCGTGCGTAGTTCCTTTATTATATATTTTACTGTACATAATACGTTCATTTCATTTGCGCATGTCAAATGTGTACAACTTGTTGTCGTCATCCTTATGATATATATATTTTTTTATAAAACGAAAGTAAGATAGGAACTTACAGTATCACTTGATAGTAAACGGCTACTGCAGAACATGGTCACCTACAGTCATCTTCAAACAAAGAAAGATACAAATGTGTTTTCACCCCTAAGGACTAAGATAAAATGCCTTACAGCTTATAACTATACAGGTTCTCTATACACAACAGGCCGGAACGAAATAATAATCGAAACTTATTTGATTATTAGATTGAAGTATGAAGCGAAATTGCATAATACCTTCTAGGAGAGCTTACGACATTTTTACGAATAATTAATTATTTTTGGTGGAACATAAAAGTCACAAACTTTTTGTTTGTAGTTATATTTTTATGTCCCCAAACATAAAAAATATTCATTTTATAACACGGACACAGTATCGATAATTGAAGTTCATGCATGGTGTAGCACTATTCGTCTCGCACACATGCACATTTTACTCACACTGGTACATTTCGTTTTTGGTGTCACTCTAATCACTCCATCGCCGATCTAATGTATACTATATCTATGATCAAAAACCTAATTCTAGTATAATCACTAGAGAGTTAGTTAGAAAACAAGTAAGTTCGATCTAGAAAATGCTTCTTCTAACTGTAGCTGTAGCCTTAACCCTTGATTAAGAATCGCAAAACGCAGATCATTCCTAAGGACTAAGATGGAATGCTTTATTACCACTAAAAAGGTCTCCGGTTCTCGCCTATATACGAAGCACAGCAGCATTAGTATAATTTACTAGAAGTTTTCTTCCTCAAACGATACGATTGTGGAATTGTTTACTACCGCCGATTCTTACGGACTGATACGACTTAGAGACCTTCAAAAAAAGAGCTTACTCCTTCCTAAAAGGCCGGAAAAGCACCTGCGATTCCCCTGGTGTTTCAGTTGTTCATGTGCAGCGGTAGTTACTTATCATCAAGTGAGCCACATGAACCTTCTTCTTTAAAAAGAAACCCATAAACTGGATAGTTTATGTGTCCAGGATCATTTTACCTGGTCGACAGGCGCGTTCCTGTTATCGGCGAGGGTGTGCTGATCCTCGGGAGTAGAGCCGGGCGTCTGCTTGGCCTTTAGCCGCTCGTACTCCGCTTGTAGGCTGGCGTTCTCTTCCTCCAGTTCGCTGCAACGACCAGACGGTTTGATGAGTTGGATTCGAAGCTAAGATAGTACAGTGAAAAAGATCCGAGGATATATGGATTTGTGAAGGATTGACGACCCGGTAGCTAAGTCTCTATGTTTGATTGCTACTACGGGGTTGCTTATTCAGATCTTGCACGAAATAAGCATTTATATTATGGCCTACAAATAATTGTTCCGGGTTTCAATGTTTGTCATTGTGCAATTTATGTATAAAAGTCAAACGCTACAGGAGAAAATTGTGGTCCATGTTGTATAAGTGTATGTGTGTGCGCGTTGGCCACGTACCGGATCATGGCCTCGAGCTCGTGGCGCTGCTCGCGGTGGATGATGGACACGACCTGCACGGGCGAGCGCGGCGCCTCGTCTGCGTCGCCGCCGCCGTTCAGCGACGCGCAGTACTGGGCGATCAGCTGGTGCTCCTCGTCACTGCACCATTGCAAACAAACATGCTAAAGTAACATTCTACGCTTCAAAGCATTGAGACGGCGTTTTTATGATGCCACAATGGCTATTTTAAGCACGTGAAAGTCAACATCTGACCGTGGGCCTCTCCCGTTTGGTTGTAAGACAGCCTACTCTACAAATGACTGCGACGGCATTATCATCACGCCACAAGGGTTATTTTTAGTACATAGAAGTCTGCTGGATTTTCACAACCACTCCATTTGAACATAAATAAAATATTTTCACACTTAGAATGCGGACAATCGCAGTACCAAACGTGAGCATCTTTAACGCTACTACTAATCGCCGGTCTTGAGGGTGGAAAAACTAAATAAACTGTTGAAAGTAAACTAAAGAAACTTGTGAAGAGTGAATAATGGGAATGATTCATTCTTCACGATAAATCTTAACGTTGGTTTAATTATTTTTATAGTTTCATACTAGTGTAGCCTCATGGCAGAATATGAGCCGCGAACTCAAAAGGTCGTCTGTTCGAATCCACCTTAAGCTTACCAGAAATAGTTAAAGGCAATATTAGTAATGTTGATTGCATTGCTAGTATAAAAAAAACTTGTAGAATAAGTTTCCAACATAACATTGATGTATAGTAGAAATAGGATAGGCGATAGCACGCAGCATTGTGGAACAACAACATTCACAGGCTTAGAGTTGGATGCTCTGGTCTCGTTAACGATTGTAAAAAGTCGATTTGGCTAAACTGTACAGGCTTATCAGATTATACAGACAGTAAAGATGAGAGATAAGAATGAAGTGATTAAATTGAATATGAGGGAATAGAAAATGATGTGGGAACGAGCAAGTAAGATATTAAAAATGAAAATGTGGTAACATGATAAAAACACAGAAACAATAATGTCGAAATGACAAAAACAGAGACAGAGCGATATAGCCGTACCTGTCGGGCGTGTCGGGCGGGCGCGCACCCAGCTCGACCTGCGCCAGGCGCGAGGCGTACAGCTCGAGGCGCGAGTGCATGTCGTCCAGTGAGAACGAGACAGAGCGATATAGACGTACCTGTCGGGCGTGTCGGGCGGGCGCGCGCCCAGCTCGACCTGCGCCAGGCGCGAGGCGTACAGCTCGAGGCGCGAGTGCATGTCGTCCAGTGAGAACGAGACAGAGCGATATAGACGTACCTGTCGGGCGTGTCGGGCGGGCGCGCGCCCAGCTCGACCTGCGCCAGGCGCGAGGCGTACAGCTCGAGGCGCGAGTGCATGTCGTCCAGTGAGAACGAGACAGAGCGATATAGACGTACCTGTCGGGCGTGTCGGGCGGGCGCGCGCCCAGCTCGACCTGCGCCAGGCGCGAGGCGTACAGCTCGAGGCGCGAGTGCATGTCGTCCAGTGAGAACGAGACAGAGCTATATAGACGTACTTGTCGGGCGTGTCGGGCGGGCGCGCGCCCAGCTCGACCTGCGCCAGGCGCGAGGCGTACAGCTCGAGGCGCGAGTGCATGTCGTCCAGTGAGAACGAGACAGAGCGATATAGACGTTCCTGTCGGGCGTGTCGGGCGGGCGCGCACCCAGCTCGACCTGCGCCAGGCGCGAGGCGTACAGCTCGAGGCGCGAGTGCATGTCGTCCAGTGAGAACGAGACAGAGCGATATAGACGTACTTGTCGGGCGTGTCGGGCGGGCGCGCGCCCAGCTCGACCTGCGCCAGGCGCGAGGCGTACAGCTCGAGGCGCGAGTGCATGTCGTCCAGTGAGAACGAGACAGAGCGATATAGACGTTCCTGTCGGGCGTGTCGGGCGGGCGCGCGCCCAGCTCGACCTGCGCCAGGCGCGAGGCGTACAGCTCGAGGCGCGAGTGCATGTCGTCCAGTGAGAACGAGACAGAGCGATATAGACGTACTTGTCGGGCGTGTCGGGCGGGCGCGCGCCCAGCTCGACCTGCGCCAGGCGCGAGGCGTACAGCTCGAGGCGCGAGTGCATGTCGTCCAGTGAGAACGAGACAGAGCGATATAGACGTTCCTGTCGGGCGTGTCGGGCGGGCGCGCGCCCAGCTCGACCTGCGCTAGGCGCGAGGCGTACAGCTCGAGGCGCGAGTGCATGTCGTCCAGTGAGAACGAGACAGAGCGATATAGACGTACCTGTCGGGCGTGTCGGGCGGGCGCGCGCCCAGCTCGACCTGCGCCAGGCGCGAGGCGTACAGCTCGAGGCGCGAGTGCATGTCGTCCAGTGAGAACGAGACAGAGCGATATAGACGTACTTGTCGGGCGTGTCGGGCGGGCGCGCGCCCAGCTCGACCTGCGCCAGGCGCGAGGCGTACAGCTCGAGGCGCGAGTGCATGTCGTCCAGTGAGAACGAGACAGAGCGATATAGACGTTCCTGTCGGGCGTGTCGGGCGGGCGCGCGCCCAGCTCGACCTGCGCCAGGCGCGAGGCGTACAGCTCGAGGCGCGAGTGCATGTCGTCCAGTGAGAACGAGACAGAGCGATATAGACGTACCTGTCGGGCGTGTCGGGCGGGCGCGCGCCCAGCTCGACCTGCACCAGGCGCGAGGCGTACAGCTCGAGGCGCGAGTGCATGTCGTCCAGTGAGAACGAGACAGAGCGATATAGACGTTCCTGTCGGGCGTGTCGGGCGGGCGCGCGCCCAGCTCGACCTGCGCCAGGCGCGAGGCGTACAGCTCGAGGCGCGAGTGCATGTCGTCCAGTGAGAACGAGACAGAGCGATATAGACGTACTTGTCGGGCGTGTCGGGCGGGCGCGCGCCCAGCTCGACCTGCGCCAGGCGCGAGGCGTACAGCTCGAGGCGCGAGTGCATGTCGTCCAGTGAGAACGAGACAGAGCGATATAGACGTTCCTGTCGGGCGTGTCGGGCGGGCGCGCGCCCAGCTCGACCTGCGCCAGGCGCGAGGCGTACAGCTCGAGGCGCGAGTGCATGTCGTCCAGTGAGAACGAGACAGAGCGATATAGACGTACCTGTCGGGCGTGTCGGGCGGGCGCGCGCCCAGCTCGACCTGCGCCAGGCGCGAGGCGTACAGCTCGAGGCGCGAGTGCATGTCGTCCAGTGAGAACGAGACAGAGCGATATAGACGTACTTGTCGGGCGTGTCGGGCGGGCGCGCGCCCAGCTCGACCTGCGCCAGGCGCGAGGCGTACAGCTCGAGGCGCGAGTGCATGTCGTCCAGTGAGAACGAGACAGAGCGATATAGACGTACTTGTCGGGCGTGTCGGGCGGGCGCGCGCCCAGCTCGACCTGCGCCAGGCGCGAGGCGTACAGCTCGAGGCGCGAGTGCATGTCGTCCAGTGAGAACGAGACAGAGCGATATAGACGTTCCTGTCGGGCGTGTCGGGCGGGCGCGCGCCCAGCTCGACCTGCGCCAGGCGCGAGGCGTACAGCTCTAGGCGCGAGTGCATGTCGTCCAGTGAGAACGAGACAGAGCGATATAGACGTACCTGTCGGGCGTGTCGGGCGGGCGCGCGCCCAGCTCGACCTGCGCCAGGCGCGAGGCGTACAGCTCGAGGCGCGAGTGCATGTCGTCCAGTGAGAACGAGACAGAGCGATATAGACGTACTTGTCGGGCGTGTCGGGCGGGCGCGCGCCCAGCTCGACCTGCGCCAGGCGCGAGGCGTACAGCTCGAGGCGCGAGTGCATGTCGTCCAGTGAGAACGAGACAGAGCGATATAGACGTACCTGTCGGGCGTGTCGGGCGGGCGCGCGCCCAGCTCGACCTGCGCCAGGCGCAAGGCGTACAGCTCGAGGCGCGAGTGCATGTCGTCCAGTGAGAACGAGACAGAGCGATATAGACGTACCTGTCGGGCGTGTCGGGCGGGCGCGCGCCCAGCTCGACCTGCGCCAGGCGCGAGGCGTACAGCTCGAGGCGCGAGTGCATGTCGTCCAGTGAGAACGAGACAGAGCGATATAGACGTACCTGTCGGGCGTGTCGGGCGGGCGCGCGCCCAGCTCGACCTGCGCCAGGCGCGAGGCGTACAGCTCGAGGCGCGAGTGCATGTCGTCCAGTGAGAACGAGACAGAGCGATATAGACGTACCTGTCGGGCGTGTCGGGCGGGCGCGCGCCCAGCTCGACCTGCGCCAGGCGCGAGGCGTACAGCTCGAGGCGCGAGTGCATGTCGTCCAGTGAGAACGAGACAGAGCGATATAGACGTACCTGTCGGGCGTGTCGGGCGGGCGCGCGCCCAGCTCGACCTGCGCCAGGCGCGAGGCGTACAGCTCGAGGCGCGAGTGCATATCGTCCAGTGAGAACGAGACAGAGCGATATAGACGTACCTGTCGGGCGTGTCGGGCGGGCGCGCGCCCAGCTCGACCTGCGCCAGGCGCGAGGCGTACAGCTCGAGGCGCGAGTGCATGTCGTCCAGTGAGAACGAGACAGAGCGATATAGACGTACCTGTCGGGCGTGTCGGGCGGGCGCGCGCCCAGCTTGACCTGCGCCAGGCGCGAGGCGTACAGCTCGAGGCGCGAGTGCATGTCGTCCAGTGAGAACAAGACAGAGCGATATAGACGTACCTGTCGGGCGTGTCGGGCGGGCGCGCGCCCAGCTCGACCTGCGCCAGGCGCGAGGCGTACAGCTCGAGGCGCGAGTGCATGTCGTCCAGTGAGAACGAGACAGAGCGATATAGACGTACCTGTCGAGCGTGTCGGGCGGGCGCGCGCCCAGCTCGACCTGCGCCAGGCGCGAGGCGTACAGCTCGAGGCGCGAGTGCATGTCGTCCAGTGAGAAAGAGACAGAGCGATATAGACGTACCTGTCGAGCGTGTCGGGCGGGCGCGCGCCCAGCTCGACCTGCGCCAGGCGCGAGGCGTACAGCTCGAGGCGCGAGTGCATGTCGTCCAGTGAGAACGAGACAGAGCGATATAGACGTACCTGTCGGGCGTGTCGGGCGGGCGCGCGCCCAGCTCGACCTGCGCCAGGCGCGAGGCGTACAGCTCGAGGCGCGAGTGCATGTCGTCCAGTGAGAACGAGACAGAGCGATATAGACGTACCTGTCGGGCGTGTCGGGCGGGCGCGCGCCCAGCTCGACCTGCGCCAGGCGCGAGGCGTACAGCTCGAGGCGCGAGTGCATGTCGTCGCCCGCTCCCGCGCCCGCGCCACACGCGTGCTGCGGGGACGGTGCCGGGGACTCTAGAGCGTCACCTGTGTAGACAACCACAACCTGACTTATTACGTAATCGATACAATTGTGTATGTATGTGGGTCAACTCCGCGTGCTGCGGAGTCAGCGCCGGGGACTACAAAGCGTCGCCTGCGTAAACAACCATAACCTGACTTACAATACCACTTATATGTCTACACACACACACTTTAGCTTTCATTCTCCTTTGCTGAATAACCATAATTTAATAACCATAGAATAATAATACATAACTTTGATGCCTACTAGGCACGAGAGAGAACGGTGAGCTGAAGGTAGGGAAATTTAGGAAGCCAAGGGGCCAGCAGCTGGTTCCCCGACGGTTCGAGAAAAAATGAGATTGACTTCATTATAAGGACTAGACGACAACTGTTCAGTGATGTCTCAGTGATCGCAAGGGTGAAAACTGGTAACAATTACCGATTGGTTAGAGGCACACTGAACCTAAACGTTAAGTCGGAGAGGTCTCGTCTAATGAAGTCAAGGCTCCGTCCCGCTCGTGCTCTAATCCGAAGTCCCGAAACCTTTCAGTTCGAGTTACAAAACCGTTTTCAGTGCCTAGAAGACTGCAATGATGTGGACGATATGAATGATAACCTCGTGGAAAATGTTCAAGCGGGCGGAGATAAGTTCTGCAAGACCCGCCGCAGAAGAACACAAAAACTATCCGATCACAGTCTTAATCTGATCGCTGTTAGAGGGGAAATGAAGCTGCAGTCGTCAACAGATTTGACAGCATACAGGCAACTGAACAGACAGATCTCTAAATGCATGCAGCGGGACTTGAGCTAATTCAATAAGATCAAGCGATCGACCGGAACCAAGGCTCCAAAGTCTGTCTGAAAGGCTCTAAAGATCTGTCTGCCAGAAAAAGCCAACTGTCAAAGTACGAGATCGAGTGTGGCATCATTGTTTCCGGGACACCTGAGATTTAGAGTGAGATTGAAAGGTTCTATGAGTAGCTGTACACGTCATCGTTGTAGCCACACGCAAGTGTGAGTTACGATCCAAGAGCAAGTCTCATCCGGCACTATTCCGATGATATCCCGAACGTCAGTCTGAGCGAGATCAGAATGGCTCTCCAGCACCTTGAAAACGGCAAGGCCCCAGGTGAGGACGGAATTACAGCGGAGTTTCTGAAAGCGGGTAGAAGACCGGTACTTGAAGTCCTTCAGAAGCGCTTTAATCCCTTTAAATAAAACTAATTTTACGGATTTTATCGCGTATAATTAACTTATTTTATATTCCCGACGTTTCGAGCATTTTAATTCCGTCCTCCATGGTGGGACTACTCCGGAGGCGTGTAGCAGAAGTGCGGTGGTCTTGTTCTTAAAGAAAGGCGACAATGCTCTCATGAAGAACTACAGAACGATTTCCCTTCTGAGCCGCGTCTACGTGCTGTTTTCGAGAGTCATTACGAATCGTCTCGCACGCAGACTCGACGACTTCCAGTCTCCCGACCAAGCCGGTTTCCGAAGAGGCTTTAGTACCATAGAACACATACACACCCTTCGGCAAATTGTACAGAAGCCAGAAGAGTACAATCTGCCACTTTGCCTTGCGTATATCAACTATGAGAAAGTCTTTGATTTCGTCGAAATTTGCGCGGTGCCAAGGCTACGATGGCTATCCGAGTACAGAATGAGAGTACGAAACCCATTTAACTGCAGAAAGGTGTAAGACAGGGTGGCGTTATATGAGGCTGTCATGCGGGCCCGGGATCGGGCCCGTGAGGAGATGCTGGAGACTCTCGACAGAGATCCGTGGGGGCGCCCTTACAAGATGGTGCGGGATAAACTCCGCACCTGGGCCCCCCCGCTGACGCAGAGTCTCCGGCCTCAGCTCGTGGAGGACGTGGTGAGCGCTCTGTTTCCTGCGCGAGGGGAACATCCGCCCCCGCCTATGGCTCCGCCACCTGCGGTGCCGGAAGCGGACCACCAGGACGACGACGACGACATCCCGGAAGGGACCGGGGTAGACCTGAGAGTGGCGGTACGTAGGCTCAAGGCCAGGAATACCGCCCCAGGACCCGATGGATTGCCTGGCAAAGCCTGGGTCCTGGCCTTGGAGGCTCTCGGGCCCCGACTGGAGGGGATCCTAAGCGCATGCTTGGAGAGAGGCCAATTCCCGCTTCGTTGGAAGACGGGGAAGCTGGTCCTCATTCGAAAACCAGGGCGCCCTGCGGACTCTCCGTCCGCATACCGGCCCGTGGTGCTGCTCGACGAGGTGGGCAAGCTCTTTGAAAGAGTCATTGCAAACCGCCTCGCCGAGCACCTTGCGGGGACGGGGCCGGATCTTGCGGAACACCAGTTTGGTTTCCGCAAGAGGCGCTCTACGGTGGACGCCATCATGCGCGTAAGAGCCCTCACGACGGGGGATGCAGTGGCCAGGGGGGGGGGGGGTTGTTTTGGCGGTGTCTCTCGACATCGCCAACGCCTTCAACTCCATGGCCTGGAGCTGCATTAGGGAGGCACTCCGGTATCACCGGGTGCCGACCTATCTCCGTCGTATAGTCGGGGACTATCTGACGGATAGGGCCGTCATCTACCCCGGTCGCAACGGTGAGTGGAACCGGCGAGAGATGTCGTGCGGTGTCCCACAAGGTTCGGTTCTGGGGCCGCCCCTGTGGAACATCGGTTACGACTGGGTGCTGCGCGCCGACCTCCCTACCGGCGTCAGCGTAGTTTGCTACGCTGACGACACGCTGGTACTGGCACAGGGAGGGTCGTACGAGGCGGCGGCGGAAAATATGACACGCGGGGTTGCGATAGTCGTTGAGAGGATCCGGCAGCTGGGTCTTGAGGTGGCTCTGCACAAGTCCGAGGCCATGCACTTCCATGGTCCTCGGAACAGGCCACCACCGGGATCCTCAGCGATGGTAGGAGGGGTATCCATCGGCGTCGAGTCGACGTTGAAGTACCTAGGACTCGTCCTCGACGGCCGATGGAACTTCGTTGAGCACTTCCGACGTTTGGCTCCCAAACTGGAACGGACCGGGGCTGCCTTCAGGCGGCTCCTGCCGAACCTGGGCGGGCCAAACGCCTCCTGCCGGAGGCTCTACGCGGGGATTGTGCGGTCCATGGCCCTTTACGGGGCCCCGGTGTGGGCGCGTGGTTTGGCGCGGCTTGCCGTCCACCACCTGAACGCGCCCCAAAAGGTGGTTGCCGTAAGAATGGTTCGCGGCTACCGCACGATCTCCCGCGAGGCAGCGTGCCTCCTTGCCGGATTGCCACCATGGGATCTGGAGGCGATAGTCCTCGCGCGCCTACACGAATGGCGCGCGGAGGCACTATGCCGGGGGGAAACCCCGCTGCCACGGCAAGTTGTCGTGCAGCGGACAGACTTCCGGCATGATCTCATGGCGACATGGAGAGAGCGACTGTCGCAACCCCGTGCTGGGCACGCCACTATAGCGGCGATAAGACCCCTCTTTGAGGAGTGGCTTGAGAGACGCCACGGCGTCCTCACCTTCCGCCTGACGCAGGTCCTCACCGGACACGGTGTGTTCGGGAGGTTCCTGCACCGAATCGGGCGGGAGGAAACGCCCGGGTGCTCCCACTGCGAGGATCGACCGGAGGACACGGTGGAGCACACCGTGGAGGTGTGCCCTGCCTGGGCGGAGCACCGCCGTGTCCTCGTAGCGGCGATAGGCGGCGGCGACCTCTCGCGTCCGGCCCTGGTCGAAGCCATGGTTCGGAGCGAGACGGAATGGGATGCCGTCACCACCTTCTGCGAAGCAGTGATGCTAGCGAAGGAGGTGGCGGAGCGGGAGAAGGAGAGAGCAGCAGCTTTCCTTCCCGGCCGCCGCGGGAGACGCCCCGGGCGTCGGGGGCTACGTCGTGGCCCCCGGCCACCGTAGGCGCGGGCCTGTGGACGGCGAGCAATGGGTAGCTCGCCGTCCGTCCGTCTAACGACGACAGGCCGTGTCGACGGCGCGTTTTGTTCCACGCGCGCCTCAAAGAGCTGTCAGCAGCGTGAAGGGGCCCGCAAGGGCCGACGCCTGCCGGGGCTGCGGGCTGTTCGAAAGAGATACCGCGGCTCCGGAACGTAAGGGCACTGAAGGAACACGGATGGTTTTTAGTCAGTAAAAGTCTGACACTCCCTTCCGCTCCACCCAGAGCGAAAGGCGTCATTTGATGATATTCCATCCGCAAAAAAAAAAAAAAAGGGTGGCGTTATATCCCGGAAACTCTTCACTGATGTACAGCACTCAACTTCGATTTGCCAACTATTTAGTCCTTATGGCAGAATTGCTGGAGTTAGGTCCTCCACCTCGCTTAGGTCCGCTGGAGGATCTAAGCACTATTCTCAATGACCTCAATAGCGTCTCCCAACGGATAGGTCTTAAGATGAACATGGAGAAAACAAAGATCATGTTTAATGTCCATGTCACACCTATGCCGGCAGTTGTTGGGAGCACTAAGCTCGAAGTTGTTGACGAGTATGTTTACCTGGGACAAATAGTCCAACTAGGTAAGTCCAACTTCGACCAAGAGGTCAAACGACTGATTTACTCGACTGGGCAGCGTTCGGGAAATTAAGACACATCTTCTCGTCAAGTATACCTTTAAACCTAAAAACGAGATTATACAACCAGTGCGTGTTGCCAGTAATGATTTATGGATCTGAGACGTGGTCCTTCACTGCTGGCCGTAAGAGGACGCTCAAGGTCGCTCAGCTATGGAGAGGGCTATACTAGGGGTTTCTCTGCGTGATAAACTTAGAATTGAGGACATCTGCAGTAGAACCAGAATAACCGACATAGCCCAACGGATTAGTAAGCTGAAGTGGCAATGGGCAGGCCATATAGCTCGAAATGCCAATTGATGGGGAAGAAGGGTTCTTGAGTGGCAGCCTCGATGTAGTAACGACCTGGTAAGTCATGCAGGAAGTCGATGGTTACAGGTGGCTCAGGACTGTGCTTTGTGGCATTCCTTGCGGGAAGCCTATGTTCCGCAGTGGACTTGTGAAGAGCTGTAATGATGACTATAATACATACACAATAGAACGGGGGAGTGGGCGAACCCGTGTAGCCACTAACATGTCAATTCACACATATAAATGTCAACACACCTCTTTTGAGGTCACATTCGTTGCCCAATTTTTTTGTCAAGCGGTGCTGGTTGCAATTTATTTCAAAAATGACGATTTTTGGGATAATAACGTATCGGAAAAACAGCCAGATGTGGAATTTGAATAAAAGTGGTTGTTTAGGTCAAATTTGGTCATGTTGAACGTCATCCAATCACGTTCGACTTCGTGAGTCGCACGATGGCCACAGGTGTCACGCGCATTGAAAGGAGGGGGAACGGTAGGCAGTTTCCCAGCGTGTGATGCTCGTGGGCAAAGTCAGTGCCCCGCCAGACACGATGCAGGGAGCCTGTGCGGCTCTCTTAGCGAAATTCACGCGACTGTCGTAGGTCTAGATAGTTAGATTAAGTGCGTGTTGCTTTGTCACCTAAATATGTGAATTTTGCGATATTTAACTCGTGCGGGAAGGCGGAATTGTGCACGCGCGTCGAGTAAATATACGGTCTAGGATTCGAGCCGCGCATTCCTAGTTGAGCTTCTCCCGGTTAATTGTCAAGATATCATTATAATTGTGTCGGCGCGTTTAGTGCCCATTTTGTGTTTTGGTTACCTAGTTAGATTAATTTGCGTGTCAACAAGGCGTATTTTGACTCTGGCGCGACGTGTTATTCTGGCGCCAAATTTATAATTTGTGATAAGGGAATCCGGGACATTCAATGTCGATTTTGTGCTACTATCCTTGCCGTGTCGGATATCACGTGTTCGATTCTGTGATGAGTGTGGAATTAGGCGAATTGAAGTTAGTTAAATGTACGATGAAGCTGAGAGACTGAGTAGTGACAGTGAAGAAAGAAGTGGTCCGGCGCTGAAGACTGCTGAAGCGATGCAGCATTTTGGGGCAGCCTGGAACTCGGCCGCTGCTGGTCGCCTAAGCTTGCTCAGGACGCAGACATTTACACCTCACTGTACACTACTCACCATCCACTATTACACACATTCACGGCCTGCCCAAGCCTTGGTGCGAAGTTAGCTTCGGATAATGGTAAGTACTATGTGTTTCTAGCTTTCTCCCATATAGTTTATTGTGATAGGAAATTTCACGCGGCCATATTGAGGCCCGACCTACGTCTGTTCGTTGAAACTCCGCTGATCAGCCCCGGAGGATTGAACCTTTGTGGGAGCAGCCGTAGGCCGTAACAGTGGTATAACTAATTAATAGAATCAGGCGTTGCTTTGCGGAAATCCATTATATAAAAGCTTTTACAAAAATTTACTTCGCAAATATCCGCGTTATAAAATAAAATGATGTGTCTTACCTAGTATGCAGAGCACCTCCCGCCCTCCCTCAATTGCGTGCACTATCCCCGTCACCACTAATCCCAGCACCGCAACTAGTAAGTACTAGTACAGTACTAGTGATGTTACAAATTTTTCTGATACCGGTAGACCGGATTTTCTGGTACCGAATAACGCGGATATATGCGAAGTAAATTTTTGTAAAAGCTTTTATATAGTGGTATATCTTTTCACCAGTAAGTCGAAATTATTTATATTTTGTGAATATTATAATCAAAAATAAAGAAATATTGATGAGTAAAAACGACAGTACTAGTGATATTACAAATTTTTCTGGTACCGGTAAACCGGGAAATATATTCGTTATAAAAATTGTATTTGGTATACATAATGACAAGTTAAAGAGATACGATCGAATACGGTGAAAAATAGTAATTTAATGACCTCCGAATAAATTGTTATAACATTTTTTTATTAAATTGTAATTTTGTTCCCTATATAGGTATCATTGAAAATGTTCAATAACGTTTTAGATTCAATCTTCTGGTTACGTATCATTACTATATGTTCACTTCACGCCCAATCACCCAAAAAGGGTTGGTAAAAAATTGTATTTCATAATATGTATTTTCATACTTTTTCTTCCGATTTTGCTCCATTTACCAATACTGTACTGGTTACTACTATTGGTACTTTTTTAGATAAGATAAGATATATTTTTATTTACATAAACGATTTTTGCAGTTTTCCTGTAGATCCGAAAATAAAAAATATGGATAGAAGCCACGGAAGGCTAAACAATTTTTTTTAAACTGACTTCTTATCTATACACCACAAAAGATATTTGAAGGTAAAAAAAGTGTATACATAACATTAGCACCGGTAAGTGTGATCCTGATATATATATTACCGGTTAATCACTAAACAAGAGTACATCCCTAGTTGTATACTCATACTACAGTTTGCTCAAACGCACAGACTAATATGATGCTGCGCATCTTAAACGTGGTCAACAATTTTTTATTTACAATAGGGAAAAAAATACTTATCGTGATTGTATTTGCAATTAGTTTGCACACTATTTACAAAGAAATATGTATTAAAATTTAAGGGATTTCTTTTTTTCAATGATGATTGTGAACATCGATAAAGTCTTAAAATTTGCGATGCTCAATTTGTCAATCCAGTTATTCATTATTCATAAAAACTCACTACAAACCGTGTAGTGTCTGTAATATCCACTATATTCGTCCTAAATAACAATGGTAATTATGGGAAACATCCACCCTATCAGCCAGTCTGTTGAGGCTGCCTATGAAAAAAAGTTTTTATATAAATTATCTACCTACTCAATACTGAGTGCCTTTAGGAAGTCATTTTAGTTTAAAATAAATTATAATTCCAAGATTGAAGGCAAATTTTTAGAAAAAAAGTAAAAGTAAGTAAAAAAAGTACGAGAAGTATATAAGAAAATCTATAGGAAGCAACATTTACAATTTGTTATAGGCATTCCAGTTTTGAATAATTTTTCTTATAACTAAACCAATTTGTCTCAGATTTTTTTGTACCTTATATTTACATCCTACCCCTATATCCTACCTCTAATGCCAAAGAAAAATAGTAATGGACCAAGAATTGATCCTTGGGGTACACTAACTTTTTACCAATGACCATAATGGCTAAAACGTCAAATTTAAGAAATTGCTATCGTTTTGCGGTATGATGATGTTGTAATAGATACAAAATAGAATTTTACAACACGTCAGCTTTTCAATGAATAAAATACCTATTATTTTACACAATCAAACGCTTTTAAGAGATATAAAAGACATAGTGAGGATTAGGAAGATATTTGCAGCACTGTAAACTTTTGTAAAAACCTTATTTATTGGATTTAAATTACTCTATACATAATAACGATAATTATAATATTTTATCATTAATAACATACAACTAATATAAAGGGTTATTTTTCAAAGAGTATGCAAATTTTAAGCAATATTACTTCTTCTGAACTTGCAAAATAACCCTGTATATAATTATTAGGAAAATCAGATAAGCAATTTTTACATTACCTTCTAGAACTGTCTGGACAGGCAAATATCCAACTCGTGGATGCTTCTTGAAATATCTTGCCGACTTGAACTTGTTACGGAGAGCTCGGGTGAAATCTCTAACATCTTCGCCGGAAGTAGTCTGTAATAAATTTACATGATAAATAGGCGTTACATAAGTAAAATTAACAAGATATACTTGATAGACCGAAAGAGATGAATTCTATAGAACACATGTATCGATGGAATTCTAGTTTTGTTTTACAACCATATTAACTGCGGCAAAATCATAATAATTGTTAAATGAACACAATTTTTATATCATGAATTTGTATATAATGAAGTCCATATTGCATTAGGCTGAAGAACCAATTCCAAAAAATCTATTTTACTTGAGTATGCGTACCAATATAAACACATTCTTTCAGTCATATCAAAGTAACAAATAATAATCTAAATTAATCGGTACTCGTAATATAAAAAGTTAAATATAAAACTATGATTTACGAAAAATAGTCATAGATAGATTATATGACTACAGCTTATTGTTTATGATTAAGTCAATAGGGCTAAAACAGAATACAAATCGATGCAGATGAAAGTCTTAAAAGGTCCTAAGCGCTAAAGTTAAAATTTACAGCCTATACATCCACTGCTGGGCACAGGCCGTTTTAGGGTAAGAAAATGTCCGCCGCCCCAATGCGTGTTGGCAAACTTCTCATGTCTTCGAAATATATTTTTTTCTTATTTCTCAAACATGTAGATTTTCTTACGATGTTTTCCTTCACCGCCGAGCACGTGGTAAATCAGCACTTAAAATTGCAATTAACAATTTCATTGGTGCCGGCGGGAATCGAACCAGGGTTGCTCGCGTACTGTGAAAGTTACAGCGAGCGCTAACCATCTAAGCTACTACTATAAGAGAGCAGTTCCAAATAACACTTACAGCAGTGCAGTACTCCTGCATAGGATGTGTGAGCTTGTGGTTCTTGGCTTTTCGTCCGCTGAAGAAGCATTTCTGACACATGTCAAAGTTGAAGCACTTGAGACAACGATACCTGTTAATAAATATATTATAAGGTTTATTTTAGATATTCCTGATTGCAGACTATAAAAAACTCTTAATTTTAAATCATACATAGCACATAATTTTATTTTGTTGCTTCAATTAGATCTTAAATTGAATGAAGAACTATGATAATGAAACACAATTTCCTTAATTTTTATTAAGTAAGGGTTACATGTTTGCACTCTATTCCGTCACTCTCATAATCCGGTGCAACAGTTATCCGACACGACCGGAGAGAGATCAGGTGCAGGACCAACGGCTTTACGTGCTTTCCGTGGCACGGGGTTGAAATACTGCCAACTTCCTGACTCCGGGCTGCTGAGAATATCTTGACAGAAAGACCCATTAACTGATATTGGGCCGAACCTGGATTCGAAATCAGAACCTCATGATCAGTAACCGCGTATACGACCACTGCATCAACGAGCTAATCAATACAATTATATAGTCTATGTGAAATATGAAATAATGTGGTACCGGCACCGGGATTTTTTTAAGGAAATCTAAAGCTGTCTGATTAGAAAGTGCCATACCTGAATCCAACGATGGGGTAGTCCTTGCAGATGTTGCACTTGGCCTGGTGTTTTGCACTTTCCGCGGCAGCCAAGCGATGCAGCACGGGCAGCCACACCATGGACTGCGGCTCTTTCTGCAGCCACTGCAGGAAGTGGAACGCCTCGATCTGCTGCACTTGGCCCTCCGCATCGCGTTCTGTCTTCTCCGAGGTCTCTTCTTTTTCCTTCTCTTTGTCCTTGTCCTTCTCTGTCGCTGTTAACATATTATCTTTTGTAAAGGATACACAATAAAAAAAATTAAAGGACATAATGAAGTCAACCGAGATCCCCAGTACAGCTACACAATCGCACTGCAGGTCACTACTCCTGTCCATTTTCGGTCGAACCGGTCGAGCCGAGCCATTCGTGCTACAACCATAATATAACTGCAGCATGATCATATCACGTATGATATATTTTAAACTAAGAATGTTACCATGTTATCTTTAACGATAAATTTAAAAAAAATCTCAATTTCTTTTATGTCTAGGAGTCCATGTAGCCTTCTTTGTATAGACACCTGCAGTCTCTAAAGCTTAGACCTGCAGTCTCTGAAGTTGTCCATGGACTTCAGTAACCATTTACCATCAGGTGAACTGTAAGTTCGCTTGGCAATTCAGTTTTATAAACAATATCCAAAAATAGTAAAAAAATACATATATATTTATAGGTATACTATGTTCCTAGAGCAGGCGAAAAAACGTACATTGACCTTTGACGATATCATCGGGGTAGCTAACCTTTTTCTTAGGTTTTATTTTTTTTTATCCTTGTATCATTACATACATCATCAGAGTGAAAGATAAGAGTGCTGAGTGCGAAGTTCTTCGCAGGTCCTGTGTCTATTATTTTATTATGAATAAAGAAGATTATACTGTACTTATATGAATTAAAAAACAATTTAACATTAATTTAAATGTATTATTTATAAACCATAACAGTTATTACAAATTTAATTATAACGTTAACAGTAGTTAAGTAGTGTAATAAGTAAGTAGGTAGGTAGTTGTACAAAACATGACCACTTCTTGGCAATCGGGTAAAATAGCGAACTTTTAATGCATTCTTTAGCAGTCAACCTTGAAGCATGCATAAAACTTCTATGCTTTTGTAACTGTTTCAGAAACATTATCTGATGATAACGACGTGGAAAAGTTCGCCACATTGATTATAAAACTATCTACAATTTTATCAACGGCATTATCCAATTCATTTAATTTGTTTTCTTCTATTATGACGTGGTTAATGCAGTTTTTCCACTTTATATAATCATTATTGTATAGCCCTTCTTCAAATAATTTTTTGACGTTTGCCGTTTTAAAAGTGGTATTGTTTCGGTTAAGGTTTGTTATCTCTGAATGACTGCTTCCTTCACCCCGCACCGTACCATGAAACACGCTTAGAAACACGCTTTATTTTCCATACATTTCATTAGAATAGAATAGAATAATTTATTATTCAATATACCTTACATGTGTAATTCTTATTGAAAATCATTTTTTACTTTACCACTGGTTCGAAAAAAAACCCTCTGTGCTGGGAAGAACCAGCAAGAAACCCAGCGGGACTTTTTTTTAAATAAATTTTACAATATAAATGATTAACTATTTACAAAATTTATTTTAGAAACTGCGTGGAAGCGACCACCTCATTCCCAGGGTTTATTATCAACCATGTATTCATTTATACTATAATAACCCTTTTTATACAGCTTAACAAAACATTTAAACTTGGTAATAGAGAGAGCCTGTAAACTTTCCGAGACCTTGTTGTAATACCGTATACATTGCCCCAAGAATGAATTACTGACTCTGTGTCGAGAAACCGGAATCACTAGCTTATGTTTGTTCCTAGTGTTTACAGAATGTACATCACTTTTTTTTCTAAAACTACCTTTGTTTTTGTGAACATACATTAAATTTTCGTAAATATACTGAGAGGCCAAAGTTAATATTTATTTCTTTAAATTTATCTCTAAGAGACTCTCTCGGTTTTAGTTTGTAAATAGCTCTAATGACCTTCTTCTGTAAAACAAAATTAGTCTCTGAATCAGCCGCATTTCCCCATAGCAAAATCCCATAAGACATTATGCTATGGAAATAACTGAAATAAACTAATCTAGCTGTCTCGACACTAGTGAGACCTCTAATCTTTTTTCAGCATAGGCTGCAGAACTTAGTCTGCTTGCTAATTTGGATATATGGGGGCTCCACTGAAGCTTTGCGTCGAGAGTGGTGCCAAGAAAAACAGGATCAAATCCTCCCCATTTAAAAACACATTGGTATTCGGATTTTTAACATTCGCTGTTGTAAATTTAACACAATTAGTTTTATCTCCGTTCAAATGTAACGTTAAACCAATGCACTCATTTTGATATAGCATTATTCACTTCGCCACATTTAAATGATTGACGTTTAAGTTTAAAAATCAAGTAAGTATCATCAGCAAATAATACTATATCATGAATATCCCCTACAAGGTAAGGTAAGTCATTAATATACACCAGAAACAGGAATGGGCCGAGAATCGAGCCCTGAGGGACACCCATTACTTATATACTCATTACAGTACAGGTGACCCAGAAGAACTTTTACCATTGATATAATAACCTTCTTCTTTCTATTACTTAAATATGAAATAATAGGTTTAAGCGCTGTGTTCTTGACACTATAGTACTGTAGCTTCCTGATTAATGTCCCATGGTGAACACAGTCGAAGGCCTTGGAAAGGTCACAAAAAATACCCAAAGCATCCTCTGAATTCTCCCATGCACAAAAAATATGTTTAATAAGCTCAACTCCAGCGTCAGTTGTCGAGCGACCCCTTGTAAAACCGAATTGATTTTAATGTAGCAATTAATTAAAATTAACGATACGTAACCGATGATGAAATGTATGGAAGCCCTGTCGAATACCCGTCGTTTTGTTTCGGTGCTAACATAATACTTTAGGGGCAATGTACATTTTTCCGCTTGCCCTCGAAACATACTATATGTGTGTATATGTTATGTAAATATATAAATGTATTTTGTTATGTTCTTCGTAACCGCCTTCGTAGTGTAGTGAATGCTTTTAGAATTAAGTCTGTAAAGTTCAATAAAGTTTAAATAAATAAATAAATGAGTTACCTCCTTTTCTGTCGAGAGTGCCCCCTTTGCTTCCTTCTTTGGTGGTAGCAGAAGCTTGCTCGAAGCAGCTTCTAACCGAGGGTTCGATATTGGACCCTCCGAAAGCAGCCACCTCTCCAAGCTGCCTAGGAACCTGGGTGACGAAATTTCATTTAGCAGTTTGATACAAAATACTTGGAAAACTTACATAGCATTATTTTAACTGATTAATGATTATTGTTCCAAGATTCTAAAATTTTATTCCATTTTACGAAGGAATTTAATGTCAAGAGCTACGACTAGCGCTATGCTCGTGGGTTTATCTAAAAAAGGTGGCTTAAAATCCTTAACTAAAACAAATAGAGACAATCGGTCCTTGGGGTCTACGTGCGATGAAGTTCCTAAAGGAACAGTATCCGCTACTGTTCGTTGCTGCTGGTGATAAGAGGGCTGGTTCTTTTCACGCTCAAAGGCTAAGTTTAGTCATTTAGCGAGGAAACGCAGCCAGTGTTCTTGGCACTATACCGCGGTAATAGGACTATGAAAAATAAAGTTTTCTTTTTTTTTAATATTGTATATATATATATATATATATATATATATATATATATATATATATATATATATACAATATACAATATATATATATATATATATATATAAATATTATATATATATATATATATATATATATATATATATATATATTTGATTGTTATGTAAATAAATAAAAAAAATATCTGCAAGATTAAAATTGCATTTGACGATATCATTGATGCAACAATCAAACTCGGGTTGCCAGACCGTCCACTGATTTTAGTGACGACTTCATTTGTTTTGATGAAAAATATAAATTCAAGATATTAGCAAGCTCATGCTTACTTGTATGCAGTCGTGAAGAAGCAATCCCAGCTTCCTCTGATCGACTCGACACGACGGGTCTGCGATAAGTCGGAACAGGTATCTGAAACAAAAAACACAAATGATTGTAAGTAATAATCTTTTTTTAAATTAAACTTATAAATTAACTATTTTTATATATCTGATGCTGCATCTAAAGCCATACATATATCTTATTATGTATGGCTATCTATAGCTACATGGGATACGAATTTATTTAATGTAATAATATCTTCTTCATCTTCAGTCCGTATAAACCTTACTAGCAGCTCGAACTAATTATACCAATGAATAGTTGACAAAATCATCATTCCGTATTCTCCTGTTTCCTCCTCCAAGGCTTGACCGATTAAAATTTTTATCTCAGAACATTTGTTTATAGGATACGGTGACAAGCGAGCACACAGTCCACCTGGTTACTGTGAGCCATAGACATCTACATCTATCCTTAATAAAGACCCAAAATGCAGATGCGTTGTCACCCGTGAGGACTAGAATGGAATGCCTCGTTTCCAGTAAAAAGGGTCTCCGGTTCTCTACACTCACCATACGAAACATAGCAACGTTAAGCTGCTATTTTACGCGTGTATTCTGTGAGAGCGTGGTTCTTCCCCAGTCGAGCCGACCCGTTCGTGCTACAACTATATAATTAATATAGCTGCAGCATGGCTCTATCACGTTTAATACTTGTTGCTATGCCTGTATGTTTTTTTTAAATGTTCGTTAAATGTGTTGACTGGATGTCTAATAACGGCGGTATAAGTGGATGGTTTTAGTAATTTTTTTTTGGAGTTTATGGCCTGGCATCTAGACCTTTAGGCCAAGTCTTGAGTATTTTTATTCGGTTTATTATAATTTCCCCACTGTATTTTTGATGAATTTATATAGAGGCACGTAATAGGATCTATTTTTTAACATATCACTCAGGCGGCGGGAGGGATCTTGCACTGTCACTTGATTTTGCACTATGTCACTAATTTCACTGACAAGAATCAATCTGTCAAATGAAAAGCACTCACATGTAAATATGAAATGTTCGATATCACCAACAGAATTATTGCAGAAGGTGCAGTAACTGCTCTCCACTATGCCCAATCGAGCCAGGTGGGCCGGGACGGTGGAGTGACCAAAGCGCAGTCTATTTATAGTGGTAACAAAGTCCCGACTGGCCATTTTCAGTTTGTTATACCATGGTGCTACAGGTAGTTTTTCTTGAACAGTTCCATACCATTTACCCTTCTGTTCTTGATCTTGTTTCCAAAATTCGACCCATAAGCTATTAACCTGGTTGTCAATAGATTGATAACAGTCGGTCAAAGGTACTTTTACTATGGAGCTAACATCCAACATGTTGGTTCCATCACGTGCAATTTTATCTACTATCTCATTTCCTGTTATGCCCCTATGTGATGGAATCCACATGAAAGAGACCTGTATACCCTTTTTTGCATAACTAAATAACAATTTTTTAATATTATACAAAATATAGTTTTTTTAAAGTCAAATCTGAGATTAGTTAAACTTTGGACCATACTTAAACTGTCTGTTAAAATTAAAAAATTATTAAAACTATTTATATGTGCAATCCTCTTCAGGGCCTCGAGAGCCGCATATACCTCTGCAGTGAAAACACTGCATTTAGGGTCCAGAAGAAAACTTTGACCAAACTTGCATTGTGGATCATAAACGGCACTGCGCACAAAGAGCTCACTTTTGCTACCATCTGTATACAAAGTATAGTAGTTATTGTCGGAAATAAAACTTAATAATTCACAATTATTAAAAAAAATTTTGGTAACAATATTGGTCTCAAATATAATACAGGAATATGGGTATGTGTAGCATGTCCACTTTGATTGTGTAATTACATTTTTAAAATCTTCATTCATTTGCTGTACAATGAGAGGTAAAACTGGAAAATAACCTTGTAAAAGCTCACCTCCCGAAGTCTGCTGGACCGAGCATTGTAAAGGAAAAGGTACTATTTTTTTGAGAACATTATCATTACCAGATATCAGCTTTAGTAAATATCTCTCTATTAGCAGAAGTCTTCTAAGACACAGTGGCATTATTTTGGTTTCAACTTCCATAGCTCGTATGGGAGTTGAACACATAGTCCCAGAAATAATTCGCAGAGCTTTGTTTTGAATTATGTCTAGTTTTTTTACACAACTACTATTTGAGTAGGCTAAACAACTGTAGTCGAAATGGCTTCTGACTATAGATTTATATAGCATACTTAAAACTTTGGGGTCTGCACCCCAAGTCACACCAGCTAAACATCTTATAATATTTAAGCCTCTTAAGAGAGTTAGTTATAATGTGATTGATGTGTAAATTAAAACAAAGTTTGTTATCAATGACAACACCCAGGAATTTATGGTTAGATACAACTGAAATTGGATGATTATTGTAGAGTATGCCATTAGAGGGAAAATCTTTACTAAAAATCATGGCCTTGCTTTTGTTAGGGTTAATCTGTAGAGCCAACTTGTCATTATAATATATGTACAATTGCTCTAAAGCATTATTTATACTATTTACAGCTCTATCTACATTATGGTCTGTACAATATATTACAAGATCATCCGCAAATTGTAAAATATTTACACCTTCTATATTTACAAAATTAAGAATTTGACTAGTGTATATGTTGTACAACAATGGAGATAATGTAGCCCCCTGCATTGTACCTTTGGATACCCTTCTGGGACCATGGAGAATATTATTATGCCTTATATACAAAGTTCTATCTATTAAAAAATTAAATAACCAATGGCAAAGTATGCCTGGTATACCAATGTCAGAAAGAACTTGAACCAAAATGCCAGGATCTACATTATCAAACGCACCTTCAATATCCAGAAAAACACAAACACTGGATTTATTATTATTATTGGCATATTTCAGATCTGACAAGAGAGAGATGAAGCTGTCAGCACAACTTCTGCCTCTCCGGAAGCCATATTGAACATGTGGAATGATGTTGTTCGCCTCTACGTAACACTCAAGACGCATCTTTATCATGTTTTCATTAAGCTTTCCAACACAAGATGACAAAGATATAGGACGATATGAATTAGGATCTTCAGGTGGCTTGTCAAGCTTAAGTAGAGGGATTACACACTGTGTTTGCCAAGATTCAGGAATTTTTTTTAAGTGCCAAAGAGCATTAAGATTAGCTAATAGTTTCTTTTGTACGGACTGATTTAGGTTTTTGATCAAAATGTATGGACAATTATCTAAACCAGGGGTTGTGTTTCGTCTGGATTGTAAACTTGTACAAAACTCACTCCAAGTAAAGGGTTCTATGAGGAAACTGGACTTCTGAAGACTATTATTAATTTGAAAATAACTTTCTAGATCATCAATAACCCTACATCCATTTCGAGATAATTTGTCTAAAAGAGGAACTACAAATTCGTCTTTATATGTTCTATTATTGCATTTTATTCGTTTAAATAACTTGATGTATTTCCCAATAATACTAACAGGTGTAGTTCTGTTAAAAGTATTACAGATGTTAGCCCAACCATTGCGTTTATGTTCTGAAATAGTCTTTTTCTTAACAGCATTAAGTCTTTTGTAATTAATGTAATTATCAATGGTTGGATCTCTTCTGTACAGTTTTAAAGCTTCATAAGTTTTAATAACACTCTGTTCACATGTGTCACTCCACCAAGGTGCTGGAGGTTTGCAACGATAGTTGTTTGCTTTGACAAACTTTGGCACAGTATCTCTCCTAAGTGTATCAAGCCTTTCAATAAATTCATCATATGACTGTAATGGATTCTCATTATTAACTTCAAAATTAGAAAAAGCAGTTATAGACAGCTCATTGTATTTTGTCCAGTCTGTCTTGTTGTATAAGAATTTTTCAATGGGAGGATTAATTTGGTATCTATCAACTGACAATAAAACACTAGTAAGCGTAGGAAAATGATAGCTCCCCATACAATCATCATGCACCCACCATTCGCATACTGGAGTGATTGAAGCACTACAAAAGCTGACATCAATAGCCGATGGATTTCGGTTAGGATAATTAATAGTAGTGAAGCTACCATTGTTGAGGACACATAGATCAAATTCATCAATTAAATCGTATAACTGATGACCCCGACTTTTCGTGGTCATACACCCAAATGCCACATGGTGAGCGTTGAAATCTCCAGCCACATATATTGGCTTAGGCAAATCTCTAATTATATCACGCAGTTTACTTATTCTGAAGTTACCATTCGATGAAGGGCAGTATACACATAAAATCGTTAATTGTTTACCACTTACATATAACAATAATGCCACAGTCTGAATGTCTTGGTAAAATCTGGTTTGAATAATATTATATTTAAAATACGGTTTGATCAAAATTGCTAATCCACCATGCTCATTTTGGGCATTATGATAGTGGAAATTATATCCCGAAATGTTAAAATGCTGAGTATCTTTCAGCCAAGTTTCATTGAGTAGACAGATATCAACATTTTGCTCATCTAAAAATTTAGACAATAAGGATTTTTTCCTATGTATACTTTGAATATTGTACTGAGCTATACATAACTGCTGTATGTTCTGTACTGTACTGTCCATTATTGTGACAGATTTTTTAAAAGTAAGTCTTTAATGAACAGTGTAGTCACAGGTTCATTATCTGTTTTATTACCTAATTCGACTAAAGTTTGGACCATTGCCATCAAAATATTCTTATTGTTTGCAATTTGAGCCTTAAGTTGAGTTTGGTTCAAGTTGGGTTCAGGCACTGTTTTATTTACATTATTTACAATTTTTACATTTTTATTTAATTTATGTACATTTTGGTTTATTGATGGTAGGGTCTTAACATTGCTGCTCGACTGTGCAGGTAAAGACGGAAAATCAGATGACTTAATTGTATTAGCTACAGAGACATAAGTAATTTTACCCTTTTTTTCAAGTATTTTTTTCATTTTTATTGGGCAAGATTTAGAAATGGCCAGGTGGGGACCACTGCAATTGACACAACACAGGTTTTCTTTTTTATCACAGTCTCTGAAATTATGTTCCCCAGCACATATCGAGCAACGTTGTTTACCATTACAAATTTTCGCAGGGTGGTTGAACTTGAAGCACCGGAAGCATTGTTGTAACGGTGGGATATATTCAAACACCCTGAACGAAAATAGGTCATATTGGATGTTGTCGGGCAGAACATTTGATAGGAAAGTTATACTGACCGTCTCGAGACCTACAGTATTTTGACCGACTTTTTTCGTGAATCTTCTCACTGAAATAATTTCATAAATCGAAGACAGTTTCGTATATAATTCCTTGTTCGAAATGTTGGTAGGCACATATCGGATGATTCCAGTTTTTTCTATCTGCGCTGCAGGAATATGCGCCTTCAAGTTGTGCTTTGTTAAAAAGTCTGTATTTGTGATGAAATTATTTGCAGTGTTGTATTGTTTAAAAACAACCGCAATTTTGTTGGCATTGACTCTATGTAAAGCTACCACACCTTTCACCTCCGAAGTAAAAATATGATTTAAGTAAACTGGGCTTTTATTTCCAAGTTTAACCTGTTTGTCTTGGCTTTCAACAAAAACTTTGAAGTCCGTATTTGTACAATGTTCAGGATAAAGTCTCAGATAACCTGGCTTAAAAAACGGAATAAAGTCATCCTCACCGCCGCCTACTTCAGGTCCACTTTCCTTCGTACCTCTTTTACGAACAATTTTGGATCGTTTCGGGGTTCCACCTGGATCCTCCGGTTCATTCATTTTAACAATTAACAAAATGTACAATTATTTACACCGAACAGGATATTTTAACAATAAATATAAAAATTAAATCGACAGCCTCGTTTGAAGTTCCCGCCAAAAACTCTTTTAGTAATTTCTAATTTTACAAGGTTGCCAGTTTTCAAATTAATTAATTAATTGAGAAAAACAAAACAGGATTTTTTTTATAGAATAAGAGTGACAAACGAGCACACAGTCCACCTTGTGATAAGTGGATGACGTGGCCCATAAACACCTATGTCTACCCTCGATTAAGCATCCACCACTGCGAACTAAGATGGAATGTCACGTTTTTAATAAAACGAGTCTCCGATCCTCCACACTCACCATACGAAACACAGTAGCATTAAGATGCTACTTTATGCTGATATTCTATGAGAGCGTAGTCCTTACCCGCTCAAGCCGACCCATTCGTGCTACAACCGTAATATAGATGAAACGTGGCTCTACTACGCTAAAAATATAGACATATCTAAAAAACTAATTGATCCAGTGTCATTATCCAGGTAAAAGGGAAAACAGAGAACTTTGGTCGTTACGAGTGTAAACATAACCATATTTTCATTTTCGTAATATGTCTTACCTATACTTCTCCTCCAAATGTCCCTTGCAGAGTAGCACGAGGCCGACCTTGAAGCTGAGCACTCGGATTTGTCCCGTGCGCTGACTGTCGTACACGTTCAGCAACCAGTTGATGGACAGGTCCAGGCAAAGTGGCACGTTCACTAAGCTCGGATTCTCTGCTGCAATCACCTACAGCAAAATATATCTCATTAAAGCTCTAGTTTTTTTTTACATTTAGATATTTTAGACATTTTGCATCTGCCAATATAATTTATCTTACCATTTACTCCATATCATGCCGTGGGTTTCGTAAGAGGCGACAGAGGGAAATGAATCAAGAGAGGGGCAAAAGCGTCTTACT